AAGGCAAAAATAAATGTCAGAATTTGAAAATGCATCCCTTCTCCTGCAGTTCTCCCCTTAAGTCCTAAGCCCCTCCCACCAGCAGAGGAAGGGCAAATGCACATGCTTCCTACAGTAACCTGTGAGAGTACTAGTCTTTCATATTAAACACCATCCCCATCGTGAAATAACCAGAAAATCGGCAAAGCCACAAAAACAGGCGAGGTAAGCCGCAGGGTTTGATTTTCAACTTTCAGTCAAACAACCTCTCTTCCAACTTTCTCTACTACTTTATCTTCTGTATCTTGTGCTCTGTTTTGCCTCCCTGTGTTTTACATCGTTGTTCTTTATTGACTATTGATTAGTTTGGTAGGTCCTTACTTAATGTCCTTTAAGAAATACAAAAGGCTTATGAATAAATAAACAATGTATATTAAAATAAGGAAGGAACGACAGATGCCTGATTTACAACACAACCTTAAAACTACACTCCTCATGCTTTATATTACATGATACAGATGTGCTTCCTGTACAGGAGTGGGCTCCGGACCAAACAGCTGTTAGCTATTCTCTAGGTTGCCTGGGCAACGCTGCAATGGAAAATTCTTGGGAATTTCCATGTGGAAAAGGATTCTGGGAAAGTAATACAGCACCAGGGTTGCTTAGTTAGTCACAAAGTTTATTTTCACATACAGTACACGGCAGGGGGACATAGCTATTCCCCAAAAATAATTAATTAATGAGAAACTTTAAGCAGACACTACAGCAACTCCCGGAGGCCACACATAAACAAAGTGTCCATAAAATATCGGTGGGGGAAATTTATGGGAAGCCCCCTGCCACTCTACACCCCTCTGTCCCGTATATCTTCATCTGAGTCAGGACACTCAACATCCCTTCCCCAAAGACTGAGGCTTGCCTAAATATAGTCTGGGTTGAAATGTGGGGGGGGGGGGGGGGGGGGGGGGGGGGGAGTGGGTATAGGGTGTGAATACCCACTCCCCCAGGGAGTGAAAATGACAGAGAAAAAGTGTAAAAAGTTTAAGGAAAGGGCAAAGATAAAAACTGTGAATGAGCAGGGTGGGAAAAAGAGAGCCAGCATTCTCCATGGGCACAGATTTTGCAACCTTGCACGCGTGTAACAGATACAACCCGCCAGCTGCTTGACTCAAGGCATGCCTCCTAAAATATACCTGCAAGCACCAACTCTCTCGTGGCTGAGAGGCGCAAATCTCAGCGAAGGAAATCCTTTACAAGCCTGAGCTGATCATTTCCATCTGCTCATTACATTTTAGATTCACCCTCTTCAGAACTCTTTAAATCCCCCGTATTATCAGTGTCATAATCCAAGTTAGACTTGACACTGGAATCAAAGTCGAAGGACATTTTTATTCATCAACGGTTTTCTTTTTCAATCCTTGATTATATTAGATGAGACATTTGAAATCTCTCTGCCTCTCCCAAAGCAAGACATATGATCAAGGCTCTCTGATTCAATCAAGACAAGGCCTGGAGCTTTTTCCATTGACAAAAATAAAACACAATTTGAAAAAACACAACAAAATACCAACGTGTTGGACGCTGCGACTCTAGCCAGTATGATTTTCCAGTGATATAGGCACGTTTTCTGGTTCAAATCTTCTAGCACTACAATGATGCATTAACACAATTTCTTAGCTGCAAGCCAAATGTCTGATCCCAGCATTGCAGATTATAGTCACGATTATCTCATTTTTTCTCCATAGTTTTTATTGTTGCAGTATACATTAATGACCAAGCTGTTCAGTAGCGCATCCAAGCATCTGGGGTCCAGAGGAAGTTTGGCCATGAAATAAGATGCATATGGGTGGCCTCAAGCGAGAACTGAGCCATATTCCTTTCTGGCCACTGTCAGTGTCAGGGCTGCTGGGATGTAGCAAGAGTCATCGTGCAAGATTACGTGAGGCTGAAAACTACCATCAAGGAAATTACACCTGATTAATTAAATCCTCAAAGAAACCATTGAGAACTGAGGTAGCTTGACTTTGATTCTCACTTGTTTTAAGAAAAAAAAGAGAGGAACATTTGAAGCAATATGCTTATTCACTTTCTTGCTGAGAGTTAGAGGAGATAATCAACACCACTCCTGACCTTGTTTGCTTAGAATTCACACCTAAGGAACCGTCTCTATATTTGTATACGTACACTCTCTCCGCTCACAGCTGCCCATGCTGCTCTCTGGTCGGATGAAGTGCCTCCTCGCATTATGCCCACCGATTGCCAGAGACGAGGAGAACACGAGAAGCATGGCTCTTTAGCTGGTTGAGCATGAAATCTAGTTTGCTTCTTTTTTCTTTTAAAACAAGCAAGTGAGAAATGGAGCAGAGGGTGACAGAAACTGTGGAAAAAGGGAGGATGGAAACAAAGTCAGTTGGTGACTAAGGCCAAAGCCAGAAAGTAGCATATGATCACGTCTTGGCCTGGATGGCTGAATTCAGCACAATGGCGTTGGCACACGATGACACAAAGATTTGGAATTGTCTTGTTTTTGGCTGTGAGGGTGGCAAGTACACATGCAGAATTCATGAAGCAAAATGTCCATATACAATAGACATATGGGATCAAAAAGGCCAAGTAATCTAGATGTCCTTGTCCTCTCTTTTTTTTGTGCTCTGTCTCCATCTTTCCTTTTTTATCTCTCCTGATCTCTCAACGTGCTAGCTGGCGCCGAGATCTCTGGGGGCTCAAGTCTATGACATCAGACTTTGCATTTCAGATCCGATGATGTTAATCATCTGCCTTCAGGCAACAAAGAAAAGAGATAAAGAGATAGATGGGGAGCCGGACGGAAAGTAAGACGGACAGGGGATGAACAAGACGGAAAGGGAGAGCGATGAGGAAGATTGTGAGAAGGGAAGGGAGGAAGGGCTGAGAGAAAGAGAAGGGACATGAAGATGTGAAGCTGACAGATGCTGGCATGTGAGGTTAGAGATGGAGCCGAGAGAGGCAGTCACACTTCAAGCCATGAGACAGTGGGGGTGCGGGAGACAGAAAGGACATGGCAATGCCAGTGTGCACGTACTGTGTGTAAATGTCTGTTTTTAGTCACACAAACAGTGAGCTACTTAAAACCTTTGCTTATCCACATTTCTGAATTCCCTGGAGGAAAATACACTGGGTCAGTCTCTCCGTCTCTGCCCTTCTAGTTTCTCCGCTTCTCCTTGGGACTTTCACCTTGAGGAGTCAACATGAAGCTTGTCACTCAAAATCACCATCACCACAAGAGTAACACACAGGGACAACGCGAGGATGGGAGATTTTTTTTTTCTCTTTGCACGATTTTGCATTGAACGTTTCCTCCGCAGCAAGAAGTTGACATTACTGCTGATGGCCAAGAAGCAGATGTCAAAATGCAGACTCTGCGAGATGACTGGGCGTTTTCTAGTTTGATTCTGGCATCCTCCTCTCTTCTAAATTAAGTTTCCCTAATTCAAACAAAGAGCTCCTGCCAATCTTGTTGTGAATTTTATTATATTATTATTCTTTTTTTTTTTTTTTTCTTCACTGCACGGATGGCCAATTCCACTCAGTAAGTCAACTATGTCACTGAAAGTTGGTCTGCAGCTCGCCAAGCCTGTGTGAATATCATGTACACAACCCACAGATCAATCCACTTAGTGCCCATGAAATATAGGGAGCGGGCAGGCCACTCTGCTATTCTGACATCACTGTACTCGGCCATTAGGCTGAGTGCCATCATGGCTCCCCACCTCGGGACTACTTGGGCTGCATTCAAAACCATACGCTGTAGTCCAGCCTCCGTCCCAACCGTTCTGGAACACCTTAAACCTGTTGATTAAGCGTGAGAAGCAGCATGGTATATGAAACCGGCTCACGCGCCTAACACGTTTGTTTGATTTAGAAACTATGGATAGATTATCTGTTACATCTATTAATGTTGAACTGCAAATATAGAGGTTGTGAGTCAGATTTAGACAGAGTGGTACCTCTACTTTAATCTCGAGTTCATAACCCATCTGGCAGGGCTAGGGGGGAGTTTTCAGCCCATAGGTGGAGGCCAAAGTATACTGGGATGAATAAAATAGCAACACTGAAAAACTATTATCTGTTGGATTCGATATGTACGTATACATCCATATAGAGGCGGATTAAGAAGTATTTGTGTCCAAGTGACAAACTGAACAGATACACTTTACTGTAAATTGGAGGAAAACTGCACCTATAAGGAACCAGTAGGTAAAACATTAGTTTATTTTAAGTGAAGTCTCACAAGCTGCCCACATGGGCTGAAGAAAAATGATAACGTGAGAGAAATTTCTGTAACTGATTATCTTTTTGATCGATCAATGGTTTGGTCTATAAAATGTCAAAATATTGAAAAAGGTCCGTCACAAGTTCCCAGAGTCCAAGACGACTTCTCCATATTGCTTGTTTCGTCTGACCAACAGGTCAAAATCCAAAGATATTCAATTTACTATCAGAGCAGACAGAGAAAACTACCAGACACTCCCATTTCAGAAGCTGAAACCAGTGAATGTTTTGGCGTTGGTGCTTGAAAAACAACAGAATAAACTATCAAAGTGAATCAAATACATCCACACACATAAACATGTTGGTGCGTGGAGATGCTACAGGAAAAGTTTGAGAACATCTGAGCGACATTCACACCTCAGTCCACCTTCCTGGCATGATTCATTTGACAGCAAGCCACATGTCCCCCCCCCTTGCTGCAAGCTGGCAACAAATGGGACAGTGGCTGTAGATATCATGTTTCATAGGGTGAAGTTGTACCCGAAGTAATGTGCAATCATCATCACTTGGCAAGAAGGAAGCATTTTCTGCTTCTGCTGAGACGCTTCGAGGATACTGTTCCAGCAACTGCAATTTGCAGAGTTTAAATTGAAGATGTATTTTCCACATCGACTGTGAAAATTAAAAGTCTAGGCTGTCATTTCTGCCACACCGCATATTATCCGAGACTTTTCAAAAAGCCAACAGGCTGTTTATGAAGCTGTACTCACATCTGCGCTGTTGGGAATTGTCCGGTCGACACAGACGAAATGGTTGACAGCAGTAAAAGTAAACAGACCGAGTAATCCATGGCTTTGTTTAGTTCCCCGCAACCAGCATACGGACAGGAAGAAGATGCACATAAAAGGTTTCACAAATCCACAAACGCCGTGCGTATACTTCTCAGCCAAACGCCTCACACCGCCATCGGTGCGCGTTTGGAAACAAATCGCATCTGTTATCTATGTCCCTCCCACCGGTGGAGTTGAGGCGTGAGCTTTTTTTTTGGCTCGGCCGTGTGTGTATGTGACTGTTAAGTGAGTGTCTCAAAACTACGATAGGCTATTAGAGCAGATCTACGGCGTGTGTCAAAAAATAAAAGGAGAAAAGGGGAGGGCGCATTTGGATCTTCAGTTTGGCCGGCAGAGCGGTGCCTCTCCGCACGCTGCAAAAGATATCCTCCCGTTATTTAGAAGTGAGCTACTTACCATTAAACACGTGGGAAAGTGTGTTAAAGTTAGTGAGATCTTGTCATCTTCCATGCATTTTAATAATTTCCATGTGTCCTTTTCTGAATGGCTTTGGAGAGATGTGTCAATCTTTATTCTGCTTCACTGAAACAGAGCTTTCTTTTTTAATCTTTGAAAATTCTGACTGAAAAAAGTGGAATCAATTGAATCCACTGATCGTATTTCATTCCTTAATTAAAAAACGTAAAAATAGCACTAGATGACATATACAGATACTTTTGAAGTGTGGATTGATGTTAATGACATTTTTTTCAGTGTGTGTTTTTTTGTGTTTGTGTTTCTGACGCACAAGTGAGTTTCCGGGCACGCAGCAACATTTACGCATGGCTTTCTCGGCTTCTCAAGCAGCGAGCACTTGGCACACTCACCAACCACCTTGCTATCTATTGCCCACATTTCATTCAGACAAATGGCCAGGTCTCCTGTTATGAACCTCAAATGAGACGTCTGATCATCAGAAGGCAATCAATTGAATCATTTGTTTAGTTTCCTTAGAATACATTTATATTCACTGTAGCCTACAAAACTATTCCTCGAAGCACACATTTGCATCACAGAATGAGCTCTGTCCTCCAAACCTGATGTTTACAGAGCTTTGTTATCTCTCCTCTGTATCCTTGATAACAAGGACACACCACCACGAACCAGTTGGGATTTGAGTGCAGATAAGCACAATTTTCTTGTCTGTGTTCCTGTGTTGCTGAAAGCGTTTTAGGGCCCTCAACCTGAATGCTCTCCATGTCAGATTCAGCCAAACATTGCAAGGAAAAGTCACAATTCCCATCTAATAAAGGTTTCTTTGTTTTATTATGTGTTATCATTAGACGCCTTCATTAATTTGCAACAGTGTAGTTTATCCGCAGAAATGTGATAATATATTCCCCTTGCTTCAAGGGCTGTGGCAAATTTAATATGAAGTGACATTTTCTTGTGCTGGGACAATCAGCAAGGGTAAATACCATGAATACACTGTATTTTCTAATGAGTTTTCCCTCCAAAGCCCCTTGTCACATACAAAACTAATCTCTGACTAATTTCCTCGGAGCTTCTTACTTATTATGGAACCCCAAAGTTATTATTTCTGATCCTATTTTTTGTCTACTTGTTTGTGTCTATATCTTTGCCCACGAGAGTCACAGCAGACAAACATGGCTGAGTGTTGCTCACCTGCTGCCATTATATGAATCCTAAATTAGATTTACTGGGAAAATAGCTGACCATGTCCCTCCACTCAGGTTTCACTATAACTCATATAAAAACTGCTCCTCTGGGAGCTTTTGCCAGGCAGGGCTCAGAGGTGGGGTATAGACGAGTGTTTACAGAGAAGCAGTGAAGAGGCAGGGCAGGTTAACAGACAGTGTATATCTATACAAGAACACACAGCTTGATACACTTCAGTTAGGCGCTAATAAACGACAAAATGCCACAAACCTGTTCAATATTGATGAATGAGATGAATATGAGACATTCATCTATTTGCCATATACAATAATCCAACACCAATCCCTCATGCTGCTTCTGTTTTTGAACCAGGCAAGCAAATGCAACACTCTCCTCAATAGGATTATATGGGATTTTCACAGGGATCAGTTTGTTTTACAAAAGAAAATTCAGTTTGTCTAAATACACCAGACTGCTTTAAATGTTTAGAAGACTGACGACCGCTCTGGTTCCGTTTATCATTTATGCTGCTATAATAAATGTTTTTTGTCAATAGATCAACAGAACCATGTGTAATGTTACTGAGGTTGCGAGTAGAGATTGAACTCTGCATGCGTTTTTTAGCTCATTGTGGTTTTCCAGCTCCAAACTTTACTGTTCTGGTTCACTTCCAAATGCTCTTATAATGAAAAACACTGATAAACCCTAACCTGCCCAACAACAAGCAGCAGACAGACAGAGTAAGCAACAAGCTGAACATGGAGAACCGTACAGCAGCTAACGAAACAGAGCTAAAAGGAGAGTGAGAATAGGACTTATATTCACCAGGTGGCCAATAACAATAGACCGTTTTCACAGTAGACATTTTGGAAAAGCACAGGTCAAACTAACTTCGTTAATCTTGGGCTGGTCAACATACTCGGTAATTCTGCAGTGTCTACAATTGGAAAGGCACCAAAACATTTGCTTTTTGCTGGGGCATTTTAGATGCAACTTTGCGTAAAGGTTGTGCGGTTCACAGTTTTGCGGTCCACTGCGCTTGTATTTGAACCTGTGGACCACTAAAAGTACACATTTCTTCAGGTTATGTTTCCACAAAAGAGCAGCAAAAGAGGTCAACTCAAGAGTGCAAGTGGGCGTGTAATAGAAAGAGACAGAGGGGTTTATGTAAAGGTTGTGCTTCTGAGTGAATTAGGAATGTGTGTGTGTGTGTGTGTGTGTGTGTGCCTGGCAGGCAGCAGGTGTGGCCTCTATCGCCGGCCCCCCCGACCCCACCCACCTGTCTGGGGAATTTCCCCGGCTGCCGTTGCCTAGCAACCCCTTCACTGTCTCCACGCTGACTCCTCACGAGCGAGCCACAAGGCTGTTGTTTTCCCAACCAGTCAGCACGCATCAGTGCGAGTGTTCACAATGGGAGCTGCACAGAGAGGGCAAAACAGGAGCTACACACCGAGTATAATGATGAGCAGAAGAAGAAGATGATGAAGATGAAGATGGTGGTATTCAAAGAAAACTGCTGGGAAAATAAAGATGAGCTTACAAGTCGGCATTTTCAATTGAACACATATTTATGTTTTTTTATTTGAACTATCAGAGGGTTTAGTATTGGCTTCCCTTTAAGAAACAATAAACCATACCTTTAAGTGTGAACTTCACCCATTAAGCTTTTAATAACCTGTTTCAACCAGCTCGCCTAAACTCTCATTTTTAATATGGGAGCTGAGATGAAGAAGTGGTGCCTAGTAATAAGGTTTAATTAAAAAAATGTAGCTGCTCATTAAAACACATTTGCAGGGCAAAAAGCCTTTGCATTTTATTCAAATTATGTTTGAAACGCACCTAAGGCCAATTTTTCACAGCAAATTACACTTAAAATTCAAGTGGAGAAGACACAGAGTGTTTTCTTTTGGCTAGCTCCTACATGATTATCTTAGGATTTATGGTCACCTTTCTTAGTGCCGACGTTTGTGAAAAAAAGCAGGTTGTAAGCATTCGGAAGCAGCCCAAGCCACATGACATGATGAAGCATCTGTCAAATCGGACTCCTGTCTGAAAAGTTTAAATGTCACTGTCACATCCTCCCATATTTTTCAATATCTTGCAAGACAAACAAATTGATGTACATGCAGCTGAGCCTTTACTTTTAACACGGAAAAATTAATTAAGAAACTGTATTTATGCAAAAAAATCTTTCATTATCGTGTATTTCCGCCCCTCTTCTTCTCCCACAGGCTGCCAGGCACAATTCATTTATTAATTCGGGTTACCCTAGCAACAAATTATTTTCAAGTTTAAAGTCTAATTAGCATCTCCCTTCGACCGTGTCTTCCTGGAAAAGATGATTGGATGTTTGTTTTGTCTCCACATAAGATGACACTAATAAGGCAAAATCTTCATTGTCAAAAAAAACTTCTCCAAAAAGGAGATTTTGATGGGATTTAGGATGCTACTGTTTTGATGGATTTTAGTATCTCTTCATATCCATTTGCTGAATGTGAAGCTCCAGCCAGGAAGCAGTTAGCTTAGCATACATAATGGGAAATTACTGACCTTAAATAGCTTATGTACCAGTAGGTGAATTTTTTAAAAACAGTGCAGACAGAGCCATGCTTGCCATATTCATGCTCGTATGATAAATATGAAGCAACCTCAAGGTGTGACTCAGAGAGAACCAGGACATTCTGATGTAGCATTTCAAAATTAAAGCCCTTCAAAATCTCATTCATGAGACAATTTGTCTAAATTCAGATTATATTTGAGAGGAAATGGTGCATAGTTACAAAATAATTTCACTTGAGGTTAATAGCAAACCACCTCAAGGTGTGACTCAGAGAGAACCAGGACATTCTGATGTAGCATTTCAAAATTAAAGCCCTTCAAAATCTCATTCATGAGCTAACTTCAAATCACATTCATGAGACATTTTGTCCAATTTCAGATTAGCGTAATAAAAGAAAAGGAAAAAAAAAATCCACCTACTATCACCTCTTAAGGGTTGTTTTTATTAGGGGGGGCAGGAGCACCCAAGGCCAGCAATGTAGCATTTAAAAGGGCATTTTTAAACTTTGACTGACCATCAGTAATAACAAAGCTTTTGTAGGTCACCATACACAAAGAAAACCATCTGTTTTCTCGCACCACCGTCTCCTTATTTGTGCCTCGTTGACTCAGTGAAAGGGAGAAGGATGGCGGAATGTGTGTGATATGATGTCTCACTCGGGACAGGGGCAGCCTCAGTCCCCTCTGTGCACTGACTGATCACATTACTATTAGTGAAAGCTATTCTGTCAGGAGGAGAAGTTATGGCCCAGTGAAGGAGGGCCTCAGGGTGAAACAGGAATCCAGTGGCAGGAAGTAGGCTTTGGGGGAGATCCAAGGTGATTTGACAAGAAGGGTCTTAGCTGTCCTGTTCAATTCTTTTTTACTTATAAAATCGTGTTTCCTTCCTCTACAATTAGGTTTTTGCGCAAGTACTTGTGTTGTCATTTGATACTTTAATTCTTGACGGAGTGAATGGTGCAAAGACACAACAATGTCCTTTGCATAGGTTCAGCAAAAAACTGTCACACATGTAACAAGTGGATCTGATGGATGTTTTATCCTACTATTACCAAATGTATCCACTCTGCCCAAATTTCATGATCTACAGCTTTGTCTTTTGACATTCGACCAGGCTGTCCTGCACACTGAATTCACATGTATGCTTCCAGACTATGGCTTCATCTAATATCAAGACGCCAACATTAGTCACCGGTTAGTGACAGCACATCTCTGGCTGTGTATCATCGTCCATTTTGGAGCAACAGAACAGAGAGGAGGAGGAAATAATGCTCCGGTCATTAAATCACAGTCCAGATGGTTTCGACTCTCTTGCTATCCAACAGGTGTCTCTGTAATTGTATTAAGATGTCACCAGACAAACTGAAATGATACAACAACAAACTGAAGTGATATTAATTCATCCTAAACAGTATCTATGTCTACAGAAAATCTTATGGCAATCCATGAATTAGTTGTGGAGATTTTTCAGGCTCGACCAAAGTGGTGGACAGATAGTCCGACATTGACATCAATAGAGCTATAAAATAAAACAAAATCTCACCAAACTAATTTTCACTGTATCCGTCTGGTCACATTTGTTATTTGTTGTAATCCCCTCTGCAACAAGAAACAAAACCTCAAAGATCAGATATACCAAAATGACCTCTCAATTGAACGTTGACGATTCCTCTTCGGAGACCGGGCCATGTTTGATGGCTGTGTGAACCCTGTCTCACCTTGGATAAGCCGATGCATCTGGCGACAGCGCCTGATGTGGCCTCGCCAAATCTCTGTCGTTTTGATCAGCCTCACTGCTCAGTGAATCACAGACGCAGGACGTTTCCAGGTCCCTGCCTGACGCAGGCTACATCTTTGAAGGCAAAAGAGGGGAACAAACACAATCTTTAGAAGTAAAGGATCTGAGGGATCCATCAGAAAGAGAGAGGGAGAGAGAACAGGAGGGGGGGGGGGGGAGTTATTGAGAAGAGGGGTAGAGAGGGTGAATATGAAAGACAACACAGGGAACATAAAACGAGAGGGGGAGACAGAAAGGGTATAATATAGACAGCAGAGCAGAGAGAGCCTGGCATCCTTTGATCAAATATTGCACGTTTTCAGCAAGAAGCAAATGAGAAGTCATTGAACCCTAAGAGTGTACTTGAAATAAGTTAGAAGTTGTATCACAATACACCAGGCTATTAGAAGATGGGTAAAAGTAATAAAATCGGTGAAATTAAGGCAAACTAAAAAGGTGCAATCCGCCAGGTGTGTCTGCAACGACCGCAGCTGTATTGTGTGGTTGAATGAACACAACCGGTTTTTTATACAGCCACAGGTCAAACTTTCTAAATACAGTTTAGAATCCAGACCTCAGCACTCTTCTATATTTAAAAAGTTTTCTTCATTTAGAAATACAGTGTAGACTCTCTGCTGCTTCCTGAGCCCCATACAGCTATCACAGCCATGTATGGTGTCTGCAACAGGTGCCCATGCAAAGATTATAAATAAACCAGATCATCAACCATGAGAAAGAGTCCCAACTTAAGTCATCATGAGGCCTCGCATAACAGAACAGGGCCTGAATAGCATTTGAGAGCAGGCAAAGTCAATCACCCAAAATAACTGAATTAGGCCGTATGACTATTATGAAAAGGTGAAAGTGGATCCAAGATGCTAAACTGAGGATCTTCACCACAGTGGTTTGGTTTCTTAGGGTTAGCCAAACATTTGATTAATTCTAATATACTGTATATTTTATTACAAAGATCCTCTGACACTTCATGGTATTTTACAGTAGTATTGTGTTTTTGATCAAATATTAACACAATTTAAACAGAAACCTTTTACTGTTTATGGGATTGATGTTAGCTTTCTCTTTTGAGTGTAACTAGGTTCAAGGATGAGAGCAGATAACAAGGCTCTGGTTGATGAAGTAGAGGCTGAATACTGCAGCATTCAAATATTTTTGTTTGATAAAAAGGTTTTGCTATGGTGGCTGAGGTGGTGTGTTTAAAAAAAACTCACTTTTACTTTGTGACAGACACAGCAGGAAGAAGCAGGTGTTTTGTAGTTGCAAAGATGCGGAGTCACCTCCTAGCAGGTGCTGACACACACACACCCACACACACACACACACACACACACACACAATCCATCCACAAGCTGTCTGTAAACACAAATACCAACAAGTGTGTTGGTCTTCTCTCTGACTCTCAGTCTGTCTCTGAAAATAAAGAGCAACAAAGGAAAATGCATTCAAGCCTTCAATGTATCATTTCCTTGTGAAGTCTCGGAGGAGGAATACATAAGTGAAAGGTCCGAAAGAAATAAAGAGACCATGTGGTGACTCTGCAAAGTGGGGTTCTCACTCCCCCTGCAGGCAGAATTATATAAATGCCGGCCCTCATATATTTCAACACATAAAGACCAGATGTATTTTCTATGAAGAATATAAGAATTGTCTATGACTTCAGGAATGTGAAATGAGCGTGTGGACGTTAAAATCTGAGCTCCTCTTAAATAACAAGCTTTCAAAAGTAATAGCAAAAAATGTGAAACATTTTAAACTTCAATAGATCATGTATTTAAAATGCACACTGTTTTTAAATGTATACAATATGATGTGCAATACGAAGACAGCAGAGAAGCACAGGAGGAATGAAAGAAGAGGGACATATTGCAAATCAATTAAAGCTACATGTAACATTTGTACCTATAAAAAGCACAAGTGTTTTGAGACAGTAGATCATCACCAGGCACAAAAACAATTCAAACATACTTTCACATGACATACTCAAGAAGTAAACAACACAAGTTCAGCCTTTTAAGCTATTGGCTGCAACTCTAAGTAACAATTAAATAAGTATGTCCAATTATCTGTGCTACTGTATATCAAATGCTAATGCTAACTATTTGCCAAAGAAGGAACGTTAACACCATCTTCGAAATCATCCTCCAGTTTTAAACCCTTATGTAACACTCCACCACTGGCCTCCCAAATGTCTTTGAAATATGTGTTGTTACCAACTCACAGTACACAAAACCACACTGCCATGTTAGGACTGCCAAGGGGACTGCCAATGACAATCACAATTTATGAGAACACTTACAAAGTACACACAAGGAGGCGGCTATATACTCCGGCTGATTGTCTTTGACTTGCCGGAGCAACAAAGAAGACATCTTTAATTTGTACTGAGTGAGGGAGAGGTATATGATCTTATGCCTTTGGAAATAAGCATTGAAGGATAGTGTCACTGTTGTCCTAACCTAGCTCAAGGAAAGAAGAAGACAAGAAAGAGGCCAGACCACCCATGAGTTGTACCTAAGAAAACAGACAAAGATGCTTTTTTTTTTTTACCTATAGCTAAAACAGGAAATGAAGTAACTATCAAAGTGGAAACATAGAATAGGTTGATGGGACATCTTTGGGTTTTTTAATGTGTGAATGATAAGAGAATGATGTGGGGATGTTTTTTGTCACGACAAACAACCAACCAAAAGAGAGGAAGCCAGGGGAGGAAAAAGAAAAGCGTTAGCTTTACTGCTGCAGCAAGTGGTTGGAGCAGCTGAATTGCATCTCTGTGATTAATTGACTCTGCCCTTCATGGTGTAGGAAGGACAGATTATGGAGCAAAGCCTGTCCACTGTGTCGAAAGGCCTACATGTCACAGTAGAAAGAGCACAGCAAGGCCTTCACAAGAAATAACTGAAAGCACCTGAACACCGAGAGCAACAGTAAATAAAGCCACATTCGATCTCCTTTAATCTCATATAGATCATATATTAGCTACTTCATCAATGGAAGCATTTGTAAATAAACTGTGGACTAACTATGCGAGCGTAAAAGCACTTTACGCTCACCAGGAGCTAATCAGAACTGCTCTCACCTGGAAGTTGGATGGTGACTTGTCACAGGAGAGAGCTGTCAATCAGAAACAGCAGACGCTCACAGTCTTAATGTCTAATCAACCAGTAAGTGAAAACACCTGTAAAGACAGCTGTGTAAGGGCCTAAGAATGTAACCAGGGACTTGTAGTTTTTGTTCAAAATGAAAGCATATGGCACCATCTTGTGGTTGCTTTCTGATACTTCACACATGTCATCATCTGCTAACTCGCTGTGAAATCTCTCTGGGAGCTTTAAAAAGTATAAAAATAACACCAAATAACCCCCCGTTTTTTTCAAAATAAAACTAGGCTAAGATCAGTAATGCAATACACAAAAGCATTTAATTTGTACTGATATTTAATATTTAGACATGGGGCAACAGCCATTTTTACAGCACAATTTGCATAATTTATCAATACCTCCTGTATACAATCACAAAACCATGACAGTAGATTTTTTTTTCTGTTTACTTACAAGTGAAAAACCAGACAGGTTTTACAAGCATAATCTTTGTACAGTCAGCATACATCTTCGATAGTTGTAATAGGTTTTCTTCATAATTTCCCCCTCTATAGCATTTTTGTTCTATAATCTTTCTGTACCTCATTCTTTTTTTTTTCTTTAATAATATCTGGACACAAAAATAGTATGAACCACCAACGAAACATGCAACATCCAGTGTGAGCACATTTAAATTATCCTGCAACTGCTAGAGTTGTTTAAGATAGAATTCTGTGTAGTTAGACTCTGGTAAACCTTTAGTGTTTGGTGTAAAGGGTCAGGTAAATCTGGGTCTCTATGGACAGACATATGGTCCTTTCGCAGTCTATCCACTGTATATTGATCGAGAGAAAAACAACTTCCTTTTACTTCTATGATCACACACCTTTTTTTTGTCTGCTAAAAGACCTATTGCTCCCCAAACCCCGGTATAAAAAGCTATGTATTTACAAGGTTGGAAATAGAGACATAGTATCTGTGTGTGTGTGGGTGTGTGGGTGTGTGAGATAGAGTGTGTAATTCTTTGTGTGTTACGAGAGATTTTAAAGTCAATAGTTTTAGACAGACAACACTTAAAATAAGAGATATGCATTAGAGCAAATGACATGCACGGACTTGGTATGAAGATGTTACACACAAGCACATGAGTATGAAAATAAGAAAAACAAAAAAAAGCATACACTGACCTTAAAACTACTATCATAGCAGGTAGAACGTCCATTTATTACAATTCTTCTTTTTTTTTTGGTAATTTCATTTACACAAATGCAACTATTCAAATGGGGAGTGCAAACAAATTGGAACATTTTGAATAGGAATGTTATCGTCTTACTTAATTAATCGTAATTCATAACTATGTGAAATTTGTGCATGTTAATTGCCATACGTGAGTGTACGTTGGTGCTAAGGAGTTTCAGGCCCTCTAAACCGTGTAAACAAGTACTACATTGTGTATAAAACAAAATGTCTCAATGTTTTTCATATGTACACCTGATATGTCCTGTAAACAAATATAATACAACATATAAAATCGTCTCACAGGCAATAAATAAAGATTCATATTAACAATACAAAATAACCTGTTAAATTAAATTTAAAAAAATCACATTAAAGCAATAATCATGAAGGACATGAAAACACTGCAGGTGCAAAAAGTCAAGATGCAGTTACCACCTTAATACAGTAGATGTTGCATAGAAATCACTCAGATATTAATTTTCACTCAGTTTGACTGAAAACAATGAATGAACCAGCTGTCCTGCCTCTTGACTCCCATACAAGCACACACAATGAACACGATGGACAGAGCAGACTTTTAGACACAACATTGGTGATCTGAAGTGGAAGTGGTAATATCAAGACAACACATGTATGACAACAAAGCTGGGACAAAACATCAACATGCTGCTGTAATAGCATTGTCGTATCTTAGAATGGTAATAGTGCTGTTTTCATGGATGCTTTCCGGCACATTGCCTATCTCCTCATATTGGCATCGCTTTGCTTTAACTCTCTACTTCCTCCCCTTGGAAAAAAGTCTGACTATTTCATTTCTAGCAGGAGGATAATGTCAGATTTACATTCTAAGCAGAAAAAGTGCAAAATACCACACAAGCGGGACGTTGTTGAGTGGACTGTAGGACTGATATAAGCATCGTAATGTGCCTGGATCTCACGAAAGAAAAAACAAGAAGTACTTAAATCTCAAATGGTAAATGTCTCACATTCTAAAGGGGCATTATGTGTAAATAAAACCTCTGTCACAATCATCAAGACTTGATTGTCTGTGATAAAGATCTATATATCTATCTATATATGTTATAAGTCATTTCCAACTATGACACGTCACTATATACAAAGTGAACCTTAGAGGCGATGGGTTTTTTTTTTGTGCAGAAAATGTGGCACAGCATACCATATAGATAGACTCATGCGCAAAATATATAGTGTCCAATTTGATATATATATACATTTATATCAATATTGTTCATTATCAAACAATAATTATTTGATTGAACCGAGTTTACACTCATGGAGAGAAAAAGAAAAAGTGAACAAGGAGATGTTTCTGTTAATAAATTCATGCTTGCTGAGATTTCCTTTTTTTCCTCTTGAAATTGAATGCTAGGTAGTGAGTTACAAAATATACTATGTATCCTTTCCAGGATGGATTTTTAAGTTCTTAAATAATTGAGGAGAAGTCAAATGATAGAACTCTACGCTAATATCATAATACAAAAATAAACACGAGGTCTCCGTAGCGGAGTCTTCAATATTTCTTTCCCAAAATGCTTTGTAAATCAATAAAACTCTGCGCTCATAATAAAAGCAATGAGGAAAATCTTTCATGGATAAAACATCTAAATAAATAAATTAGAATCCACAAGTGTGTCCATTCCCTGTAGAATTAAAATGTCTCTTCTGCATGAATGAGTGTGCAAAGTTGTCTTAAATAATTGTGTGCATTGGTGTGTGTGTGTGTGTGTGTTGTGTGTATTAAAGTGTTTAATACCTGGTTGATTCCGTGCTTGACCTCTGAACTCAGCACCTGCTCTTTTCCTCAGCCCTGGCTACACTACTCTACACCGTACGTCCTGTAAACCTGTGTATTCATTTCCTGTAAATGCATTCACTACTTCCTCCAAACGTCCTGCATGACAGAAATCATCATCAGACTTGCCCCAACGACCAAAAGCATCTTCCAAAACTCTGAGCCCTGAAACAAAGATTGAAGAAAGAGATATTTCCAACTCAATCCACCCTTTACCCCGACCGACAAGAGTGGATCAGTGTTACAGATGTTGAACCTAAGCGTCCCCAGATGACAGAAACCTCTTCGTGCCCTCTCAAGCTTAGTTTGTTTTGATTGAGTTTCCTTCTATGAGTGGATCTGGGTGGTGCTGGCGAGCAGCTTGTGCCAGCTCACCACTCGCTTGCGTAGGTCGACTTTGTCCAGCCACACGTAGGCCTCCCCGATCAGAGTCTTCTTCACAAACTTGCCAGCGTTGGACACCAGGAACAGCTGGTGTGAAAAGACCATAAATCAGCATATCATGTGACAGAATATGTAAAGGAATCCACCGGGTTTAACAAGAGATCGTGTATGCTTAAAGGAATAGTTTGACTTTTCAAACTAGCTGTTTCCCCCCGTTTCCAGTTATGCTAAGCTAAGCTAATTGTCTCCTGGTTCTATATATATATTCAGCAGACATACACAAGAAAGACATCAATATTCTAATCTAACTCTCGGCAATAATCTTAAACTGCTAGTGACGAATGATTACAGATTGTGTAATTCTATTATGTGTGTGCATGTGTTAGGGACTGGATTAGGATTACCTGTAGAGAGTGTCCAGCCGGGTTCATACAGAAGCGGAAGGTTTCGTTAAAAGATGGCTCCCGGTCATGACGGCACACTCTGGTCTTCTTCTTGATGATCCTTTTCTGGGTAGCGATGTTCACCACATAAAGCTTCACATAAAGATCTGTGGACACACACATACAAATCAATGTAAAGCTGACATCATACTGACACTACATCATCATGATTTTGCTTTTATATAATATATAACACCAAAGACTTTATTCAGAAAGTCAAGGCCACTTAACATGAAGAGAAGAAACTCCACATACCAGCTTTAGAAATAGTCACAGATGCACACAGCCAACAATAAAGTGTTTGTGCTATGAGTCACTGCTACAAATTCTGTACATTCTGTCAATGGAAATAACCCTTTGTGTGCAGATCCCATCTGGAAGCGAATCAAACAAGTGGCAAGCAGCTTGGGTATTCGGATGTTAATATCATAAGAGGAGGCGAGGTGGGCGGCAGTCTGCGTTTTAACGAGGGAAGAGAAGTCTGTACACCAGAGACTCGTCTGTCCAGTGTTCATAATTGCAGGTTCACATGTAATCTAAATAACTGTTTTTGTGCAAGCATCTCCTGTCCTAATATTTTTAACATTGCGCATATATATTATTGACGACTAGGTTATGCCTAATGCTGATATCTAAGGGAATGCTGAAGGGAAAACTCTATCACGACACCTGTGGTTCTGCATTTAGGAAAAACTGGCAAGCATTGTGGTGTATGTCAGATGCCAGTCTTTCTAAACAGCGTGGGCTGTGTGGGCCTCCCAGCTGTCAAATATTAAAATGATGAAAATGAAATGCATCACATATAATAAGAGACTTTGAAGAGTTTTGACAGAAGTAGTGGAAATAATAAACCAGAGGGTAATAAAGTAAGAAACTACCGCTTTTGAAAAGTCCTGCATGTTGTTGAGACCTTATCAAAGTCATTTTCTGCGTGTGACCTATCAGCATAAATGGAAGGAAGGTGTGTGTGCTGTGTGCAGTGTTTGTTTTACAGTACCAGGCAGGTGGTCTGGACTCTTGAACTTGTAGGTGATGTTGCGACATTGAAGAATCTCAAGGACTAGTTGCTCTCCCTCCGTCTTAATCTCCTTCTTCAGGGCAATCCTGATCTCCCCCATTATCTGGGACTTACCTGAAGACACACACACACACACACACACACACACACAAACTGAATCAGCTACGCACAGTGAAAAACAAACTACATACTTCTCTGTTCTCTCACTCCCTCTTTAAAAGCAGGTGCCTTCTGGCGTGTGACTGCCCTCTGCTGGAAACAAAGTGTACTCTCATGATGAGTAATATCAAACATGGCCTGCAAGCAATCGCATGTATTTGTTTATCAGAGATGGGGAGAAGTTGGCTTCTGGTTGCCTTGGAAGCTGAATGGAAATGACAGTTTTGAAAGCTGGGTCAATAAGACCCTGGCAACCTGTGTGTGTGTGTGTGTGTGTGTGTGTGTGTGTGTGTGTGTGTTTATGACCAGATGAGAGAGACATATTGACAATAAAAAGACTGAGGGAACCGAGAGCACATGATGAAGAGATGAAGAATCTATGTGGATAAGAATACATAAGTTAATGTGTTCATCCACGTGTGTGTGTGTGTGTATAAAGCTTCAGTCTCACACTTAGCTGTACATGTGAAAGTGAGATAACAAACCTCTTTCAGGCTTTTAAAGGCCATCTTTGCACCTTTGCATTAGTCATAATAACTTGACTCAAAAGGTCACAGGAAGGGAGGAGAAATGAGGAAAATCAAAGGATAGAATGATGAAAGTAACCTGTAAATGAGTCAGTTAATAGGTCCACACATAATGTGAATGACGCATGTTAATACTTGCAATGGAATTATTCAAGTAAACATCAATAGAGACTAGTTTTTAAAGATAAAAAACATGTTAAAAAATACATTTTAAAAAAAGACAAAAGATGGGAAATGTTTTAGTTTATTTGATCAATTAAATAGGAATTTAATTGAATTGCATTTGCTATTCTTTGAGGCAGGACATCTGAATGAATGCAAATACTGTACTGGATAGTGGTAAAAGTTTAAAACTTATAAAATCCTATTACGATGACTTATTTAGCATATATTGGTGAAAGGTTTTGAACACTAATAGGCATCAAGACAAACAGACACACACACGCACGCGCGCACGCACGAGCGCGCACACACACACACACACACACACACGTATTGTATGTCTAACCTTCAGTGTCACCGTGTCCCATTGATGATTTCATCTCCTCTGTGCCGTTTGGGATCTTTCCACTAAAGAGAGGAGAAATAAAATCTTGGAAATTACCAAACTCGACAACAGCTTGAATGTTTTGTTCTGTTTATCTTCTGTGCAGATTACTGAGTGTTGCAAAAGTAGTAGGTTAGCATGCTATCAACATCTATGGCACATCCAAAAGGTGAAACTGAGGCTTTTTAAGATGAAAGTATTATAATAAGCTGACTCACAGTCGCGGCACCTGGAAGATGGCACTGTCCACCTCGTTCATCTCTCCTTCTTCGTCCAACAGGCTGTAGGCACTGCCACTCAGGCCGCTGTCCAATGAGGCTGCTGTGACCGGGGCATCACTGGATCTGTAGCTCGACCGAGCTGTGCAGAGATACGACCATACCCATTACGACAAAGAGACAGGAAGAAAAATTGCACCTCTGCCGGATCCAAGATTGTAAAAACTAGGGCCAAGAAGCATTAGATACCATTTGCGGCAACTAAAATCCATCATAATCAACTTAACACTTTAAATAATTTATGTCACAGTCAAGAGGGAAGCTTTATTCGAAGCACAAAAAGATTGTAATGAATAGCACACACACACTGTGGACTAGCAAGAAGCATTATGAACAAATATTGTACTTGGAAACTTTCTCTCAGACAAAGACAAGACAGTAATAACTCACATATAAAGCTTTCACATAAACAGACAAATAAATCCAGAGAAACATCACATATATATGTCAATGCAAAGTAGACCAAACAAGAGGCACGTAGACCCTACTAACATTGTTAGTCATCTCCATGAACTAGTATCTAATATCTCAATCTTAGCATTAGTTTAGTTTAAAAAGCAAATTATATGAATATAGTTTCATATCTGGGGGAGTTTAAAGGACGTTTATCAGTGTATACATATTTTTATAAACCCTGTTTATATGCCACCTATTTTTGATGTTATTCTTTAAGAAATAAATGTTTAAATCCTCAACCAGCTGATCAGGCAGTGTGATAGAGTATGAATGAAGTGAGATGCGTGGATGTGGTGCAGAACAGAATCCATGCCGACACGTTTTTTTCTCTCAGGCCACTCGACATGTCGCGAAGGGATCGCCAGAGCTCCACTAATTCCAGTTCCATGAAGCAATACAAACAGGGGAGTTGTGACGAAGCAGTTGTGGCAGTGGCACAGTGTTAACTCTCAGTGAATCACAGTTTGGGACATTCATTTACTGGTATTAGTGAACTGTGTCGGTGGCCGTGAAAGAAAGTGCGTCTCGCTGCATGGATGTCTGGTGAATGTGGCTGAGTGCAACTTTCTCTCTGTCTTCCTGGCTCTTTTATTAGCTTGTAAGACTCCCCTCTCTCTTTCTGCAGGTGTGCGTTAGTAGTATCGCATCCTCTCCTTCTTTCACTCTCTCTTTCTCTCCTTGCTCCCCATCTGTGCTTCAGTCACACGGCAGAGAGAAGACTCTTGGGCAAACTCTCACCTCCGGTGCTCTGCGGCCCCTCTTCTGACACGGCTTTCCTGAGGATCAGGTGTCTGCCGTCTGCTCTGCTCCCTTTGGCCGACACAACCGATGGCAGGGCAGGCAACCAGTCAGACTGGGCTCTCTGAATGGTGAGCACGCCCACTACGCTGTGTCTCTGGTGCCTCAGTGAGAGGCGGCCTCTTTGGCCTGGATGTTTTTCGTTTTCACAGGCACAGGTAAGGTGTCAGGGTGTCAAAGGTCATGGGGTTGGAGTTTAAGATGGAAGGAGGGAGGAGCAAGATGGAGATTCAGAGAGCGGTTTATCTTCACCATGGCAACCAGGATGACTGTCAATCACATGCAGCCACAGTGTGCAGTGCACGTTTTCCCCTCCCGCATGTCACTAAGAGGCGGAGTGTGCAGCATCTACTGAGGTGCATTGTGGGTCCGATAGTTGTTCAAACAAAAAAAAGGGGGGAGGGAGGGGGGTGTGTTAGCGGACTGCATGCAGAGCCGTCTCAGTCGAGAAAAGCTGGTCGTTCTTTGTTAACAAAAGTTAATTTAAAAAGAACAAAAGAAAAACAACTACCAAAAGAGGTTCATGGTATTTTGGGGAGGGGTGGGATTGCAACTTTCTTCTGTTTTACTGGGGGATCAATGAATCCAAGATGTTGAACTGCTAGCTAGTGACAAAAACTCTTTCTTGGTGAACTCTGCTCCATTAAATGAACTAAAAATAGTTTATAATTTGCTAGTCTTGTCATTTGAGAGAGCTGGAGATGTCACCGCGCTCTGGCAGTTATTAACAGATTTTGCTGATTTGTTCTTTCCGAATTTATCCTGCGACTGCCGTTTCTTTTTCAGATTAGACTTTTTTTCCATACCGTCGTACTTCTACTCATCCCAAGTAAAGTGAATGTATTTAAATTACTATTCAAAACAGCAAAACCAAACTTCAACGTAGGTAAAAGTAATTATTTCTGTTTAGCTTCATATTAAATTATTTTAGAGAATAAGATTTAGCCTATTACCTGTTTACTTTTTTGGAAATGTTTAGAACTGGCCTTCAGTAAGCAACCGTTACGCCTCTTTGGGTTGGTTGAAAAAGGGTCAAACTTAGGAAGGTCAAAGACGGTGTGCTACAGGTGAGGTGCTGGCTCTACACACTTGTGAGTACGCACAGAAGAGAAGCGGTGGGAGGTTGACACACTGTGAATACAACGGGGGAGAGGACCAGAGGGTGTAAAAGGTGAGGGAAACCAAGAATATAAAAAGGTAACTAAATGATCAGGGGGGAAAACAATAACAGAAGGATGAACAGATGAGTACGAGAAGGCCATGCTGCGTAGGCTTTATTTGCGTCTTGGTTTACTTGGTTGAAGGCGTTGTGGCAGCTGCTGCTGTGGCTGCTGTGGGGCATCGCCCGTTGCTATGCCGCTGTCCTGATGGTGTTGCCGTGTGGAACTTTTGCTGGAGCGCGAAGCGCCGTGCGAGCGAGAATGTTGGCTGCGTCCGTGGCTTTGGCTCTGGCTCTCGGACGGGGAAGGCTTCGATGTGCCAGGGCTACTGTGAGATTTCTCGATAGTGGGCACCTGCGTGTCTAAAACAACCAGATTCACCAAATTACCAAAAAAGCTATTTTCTACCTTCGTTAACTTAGATGCTGTTACCATTTGTGTACCACCTGTAGTGATTAAGTAGCTGGCGCGCGAGAAACTTCATCAAACCAGCATGGTAACTGCTTTATTTAAGTCTAAGAACTTCAAGCAGCCTCATTCAATTTGATGGTTATTTTTTCTAAATTAGGGGAGCATTTAAAGCCTTCCACGACCATGTTGCCTTCTGTGTTTGAAGAAATATGGAGAGAAGCTAAGGCTAGGCCTCTGAGCTATAGGTGACATCATGGCAACCAAGAAAACAGACCATGAGAAAGCAAAAAGCATGAAGCTGAAGCTACGATGGGTGCGCAATAATAGGCGTAAGAAGATTCTGGTAAAGAGAAAAGACTGAGAGAGAAACAGGTGGACAGAGGTGGACACCGAGAGAGTGGGGAGATACAGACGAGAGAAGCAGTGACAGGAAGAGAGCACAACGTGTGAAGAAGAAAGAAAAACAGAGTTCAAGAAGAAAGCAGGGAAACCGAAATAGCGGAAGCAGCAGAGTACAGACGGTTGTTAGGAGAAGATGGTGATGAAGTCAAGCAGCTGAGGGAATTTCATCGTGCCCTACCCTTGGCCGGATCTGGAAAAATCCCGTGGCTTCGGCTCTTGATGACAGACGATTTTGGGGAATCTTGATTGTCATGTGCAGATCCAGTGGTTTTAGGGGAGGAGTGCTGTGAGGAGGGTTTAGTGGAACCGTGTCGGCCCTGGCCCGAGTGGGAGCGCCGGTGGTGGTCCCCCTCGCTCTGCTCCTTCAGGAGGAGCCACCGCGGGACGTTGTCCAGCTCGGCTGTGTTGGACAGGTCAATAAGTACCTGGGCACAAACACAACAGTTTGATGGATATATAAGGATAAAATGTTTTGGTACATCACTGAACTGAACGTATGGTGAAAGAGGTTTACCTCTCCTAAGAAATCGTTAGAGGAGCACTTGTCATAGTCCCACACGCTCACTTCCAGGGTCTTCTTCCTCAGCTGATACACACGCAAAGATAGGAAGTTAATGCAGAGTTATAGTGACTAACTATCTGGCAAAATAAACCTTCAGGGAGACACCCCAGGTAAATGTTTTTTTAAATGTTATGTTTCATTATGCAAATGAGGCATTATCTAATGCTAACTTTTGGTGAATTTAGGAGAGATCTTCAAACGCAAATAAACAACGTGTAGTAAAAAACTAAAATAAATGTGTATGTTGGATGTTTTCCTTCCATTAAAATAACACGTTATGGAAGCAAAATAGCCCAAATCTCCAAAATGACTAGTGCATGAAAAAAACGTTTTTGCCTTTGGTGTCCCGCCTTAAAGAAAAATAAACATATGATCTGGGCTGAAAGCAGAAACAGACATTCAGCAGCTTAACAAAACAGACAACAGAAGTCCACAAATTCTGTGGTTGATATGGTTCCAATGAATCTAAAATGGGATCTAAAATGATATAATTAAATCCCAATGGCATATCCATCTGCTCCACTAAAGCCAATGGCCACAATGCTAGTCAGCAAGCCAGCAGAGAAAAAGCAGAATCATCATTTTAACATGGAAGTTGGCACATTGTGAGTTCTCCTGTGTGTGCCTTACACACACTGAATATTGTAGGGTTATAGAAATAATACCACACAACATCTATATTATTTTACACATTAATAACATGTCAGGTATTATGACACATTGAATGTGTGCAGAAATGTGTGTATGATCACATACTTGCTCCAAGTGGATGTTTTTATAGATGACGGTCTGGTTCCACTCAGGGTTGAGACTCTTGCCTGCGTGTTTGGACCTCCTCTTATTTTCAGCACTGGGGAGAAAACATCACAACAAGATACATTTGGTCACAGACGTGCAAAAGCCCCGGAGGATATAGTGGACCCTCACAATGCAGTGAGCATAATACATTGTGCACAATGTAGACAGTAGAAGGGAGAGAATGAATGTGATGCACATTGTTTGGACGGTAACAATGTATGGGCCTACGTGCATGGACGGCAGGATACGATGTTAGGGCAGCTGCAAAAAAGTCCATTTTGATGTCCATCAAGTCATTTAGTCTCATATCATTTTGATGTTTTAACACAAGTGAAAAGGTATGCCAGTATAGAAGGAGAGGTTGATTTATCTCCATATGCCAATAACTCAGTCAGCTAAATAAATCTCCTGATCACTGAATTGCAAACAACAGTAGAAAAAATACTTTAAAAAGTCAATTTGCTTAATAATAGCATAATCTGACTTTACTGACTAATTATTTCAATTGTTTTAATAAAAAAAAAACATTTTATATCCCAGCAGACTCACTGGAATAGTATGAATGACTTGATAAGATGGATGTTTTTTGCAGTGTGTAGGGTTTGATTTAAGATTGTAGGATATGAGTAAGTCTGTAAGCGTTAGTTTGGTAAAGACAAAAACAATTTACAGTATTTTGGAAAGAAAATGGGATGAATAAGAACTGCAGAGCAAAATAATGGGAGTATGTGTTGAATGTGGCGGAGCATCAAGGGTACAGCACGATGTCTGGGCACGATGTAGGACATTACTGAGGGATTTTAATCACAAAACAGGGACAAACTAAAGGGAGTCGGGTTCAATGTTAGGATTTCAAATCACGATGGTTGTGAACAAAGAAGGACTATCTACCAGTAACACACAACAGTCAGCCGAAAAACGTTAATTGTCAGCACAGGGGAGTATCAGTTTATTAATGTTATGTTAAAGACATGGGAAGATGTTAATATTTAGGGATTCAAGTCCTCGAAAATGCAAAGCTAAGCCCAAAGGCGGGTGGAACATCATGAGAATATGGGGACCAGGGAAAATGCACAATATAGGGGAGTTAGTGGAACTTAACAAACTGATTTGTATCATCAAGCTACCCATCAGTTGGAAAACAATTTGGACGTTTTGTTACCTTCACCAAACTGACAACCAAATTTTGAACCAAAACAAAACCAAAGTACCAAAGTGGTCAAGTCACATACCTGGCATTCTGGACAACCATGACCTGACTGAGAGGGTCCAGCATGCATTAAATATAGAGAACAACATAGAGAAACAATAGTCAGAGGGAGGGTGGGCGTTCAAAGAGTGTCTGTGGACTGTGAGTGTGTATGTGGGAAGGGGAGATCTAGGTTTATCGTGGGATTTTATTAAGTGTGTGTTTAGGAAAGAGGCGAGGACGGGGAACTGCGGTGTGCTGAGGGGTGGGTTGAATTTGTGCTTTAGTGTCTCGTGAATTGTGTTGAGAGGGCTTTCAGGTGATGAAACGCATCCAGTGGCAACCGTAGTGGAGATCTGCTGCTCATGGAACAGCTGGAGAGCTGATTGTCCTTGGTACTAGGACCGGGGAACTGCATCCTTTTATGTGTGAAAACAAAATCTAATCTAACTGGTGTTTACATTGTTGAAAGTGGTATTTTTTTAAATGTGAAAGTCACAAGGATTAACACATTATCTTGGCTGATATACTAACAATTATAGAGCGACAGATTCCTGCAGGGCAACAACCCAAATTTGGACAAAAATGTACAGGAATTCCTCAAACTTTACTCTTTCAACCTTTGCGGAAAGTATGCTTCTGCAGAGATACACGTAAACGTCTTTGTAAGTTATGGGTAACTGTAAGTTAGAGAGGCTTGCAGAGGAGCAGGTGCCGTGCTAAGATAGATACCCTCTGATAGGAAGTGTGCCCCCTGGCTGCGGAAGCACACATGCATTCAGTCAAGGTGGACCTTCTCTTTGATTTCCCCTTTGTACATGACAAGTAGTTTATTGTCATTATGATAATAACACATTGCATTTATATAGCACTTTGATCATCTGTGCTGGTATGAAAGAAATACACATGCGAATGTGTCTGAAAGAGACCCATGTTGATTTGCTTATGCGCCGCCTGGAGAAGCATAATTTCATCTTCATGCACATTGGCCTGTACATGTGGATTACTTTTGCCAAATCACATCTATTTTTTCCCTCTTTTCTGGTCTCTATGTATTACACTTTTATTTATAACCACCCGTTTCACTGCAACAGCTCCATGTGGTTGCCAGGAAATCTGTGATGCAACTGAAAAGCCTCTGTATGGATTGCAGTCGGTGGTCTGACAGCTGTGAGTGTGTCCATGTATACGCACATGTAGCATATACACGAGTACTGTCACACATGTGCTTAAGTGTGATATTTCCACAACAGCTTCCAGTAGGGCGGCTGCAGGGCTTGTGAGTCCCGTGCCACTCTCCCAGCTCCTTTAACGTAACCCTGTCTAAAACACAGTGGTGTTTGCATCTGCACATGTCAAACTGAAGGTCGGCTGCAAAGCTCACAGCCATGTATCATTGCTTTTATCTGAAACGATCACAGGAAAAAGAAAACACTCTCTCAAGGGACCTCAAACAGCAGAGGTGGGAGAGTCAATTACATTACAGCGCAATCACAGTGAGAAAGGAAGCCCTGGTGTGGATCGTATTGCAAGGGAATATGAGAGCTATTGATTTTCACTGCACTCATACTAGAACTCCCATCAACGGGGGCAACGTCAACACAAGAACACAAGCAACTTCATATAATTTACTGTACACAATGTTTATGTCAATCAGTAGCGATAAAGGGGCTGATGAGTCCCGTAGCAAGTTCATATCACATGACGCCATGTGTAGGTGCTATGGAATTGATACCAAAGAAAGGTCATGTGCTGCACGTTGAAAGATGTTATGGTAAGCCAAAATCAATTGTAAATCGATTTTAAAATGAATGGAAATTAGGTTTGTGCTTAACAAAGTGGCTGCCTTTGTAGCCTGGATGTTAATGGGGATATCTAAGCAGGTATATCACTCAACTTCCTTCTCTGAAAGTGACTATGAGAACAGTCACATCTAACACACCTCTCTCTCGATCAACGATATCTAAAACATTTTGTCTAATCTTGTATATTTTATCCTGAACTGCCCTCCCGTCCTGTTCTGAACTGCTTTAGGTGTGCTTGCGGGTTCCAAGCCTTGGACTCACCCTCTCCCTGGAAGGAGATACACTTTAACAAACGGGTCAGAGTAGCCATTGTTGTCCCGCGGGGCAAGGTTTCTGGCCTGCAGGACATGAACGATCAGGTTGCCGAGCTGCTTGTCGTAGTGGATTTGAAGCTGCAAAAAGAAGCACATTGAATTACAATTGATTCAAATGCATTTGGTGAGAGAAACTATGAAAGAAAATGAGATTCACTTTGTATTTTTTAAGCATTTATTCAATGTAATGTTTTTTTTAAATACTGAAAGACAAAACGGAACTAACAATGATCACATTCTATTGGCTTACATTTAAACTTAAACACTACAAAGCTCATCCTTTTGTGTCACAGACCTGTATCTCCCCAGAGATGGGTTGGGACTGGGTCTTCATTCCCTCTGCATTCTGTAAGAAATAAAAGCAACATGCTTAGATACCGTTAGCAGAAATCTGTAGGCGGATACTAAATGTTAACTGGTGGGTGTACTGTACATAACACTGTACTGTTCTGCTCTTTATGCAGTGCTTGAGGCTAAACAAGTTAGGCGTTTGAAATTGATTGATCTGTTTTAATATTCATTCAGTTACCAGTGGAACATTCTTATACTTCATTCTGTACTGGCATTCTCAAATTATTTCCTAAGTGTTACATTGATACAGGAAGAGTTACCTGATGTGGAATATTTTAATAAACTTGGAGTAAAGAATATACAGAAAAATATGTTTAAACAGGGAAAACAGGATATTAAATATGTCTCAAGGAATAATTCCTAACACTGATTATGCCTACCGAAGCTCTGGGAAGTTAAAAATGTTGTAAGGGGATGTATGAACCAAAAAGCATTTCATCCATCAATTCATATTGATATTACACTTTAAATACCAATTCTTAAAGATAAGCTAAAATGATTCTAAGCTGAACTTGACAAACAAACCCTCCTCTGACTCGCCTTGCTGCTGTGGCGTTTCTTGCTGACGGAGGGTGATCCTGGCTGACCGGGGCTGGAGGTTGCTGAGGTGGTGGGGGGCAGGCCGGAGGAAGAGGTGGAGGTGGGAGCCTGCTGCTGGGACACCTTTTGCAGCTCAGCTGCCAGCTGCTTGGGGTCAACACCTGGAGACCTGGGAGGTCTGTCACCTAAACGGGGTTACACCAGCATCGTTATGCAAAGGCTCCCACAGGTTAGAAGGCGAGATAAATCATGAGTACACAACTTTGAGTTGGACATGAAAGGCTGTACAGTGTGGTAGCGCTTTTAAGAATCTCATGGTCTGTTATGCAGACAGAAAGAAATGTATGGCTGAACTTGAGAAAAGAGAGAATTGTGGATGAAAGCGATATGACAAGGGTGTCTAAAAATAGCAGGAGACAAAAGGTAATTGGGATATTCTGAGAAGACAGGGAGAGTAGTGGGGGGAAAGTGATAAGCAGCCATCGCATGTTGGGGTTGGAGTTATACAAACACTGTAGCTCACCTTTGCTGTGCTCCTGGAAATCCAGGTGGTCGGAACCGTCGGAATCAGCCAGCATGTTGAGATCACTGACAGAAGGGAAAATAATTTCACATATAATTCAGAGAATTAAAACTCAAGAAGAAAAGAGATAAAAGAGAAAATAAGCCAAAGACAAACTGAAGAACTATATAGAAGATGAAGAGGACTTACTTACTACAATCAGGGCGGAGATAGTTAGCAATCATGAGTTACTTTTAAATATTTAAAATGGGAAATCAGGAAATATTTCAAACGCACATGTTTCATAGAATTAAATGTGTAATGTGGGGGGAAATTGAGCTTTTTGAAATTCATGACAGTGACTGGAAAAAAGAAAGAAGAGTAGAGACATCAGAGAAATGAAGAGGCAGGAAATGTAAGATGATAGATCAAAGTGATGATCAGAGAATGACGAAGAAAATAAAGAAATAACCGATGGATGAGGGTGGATTGTTAATCATAGAATACAGCAGAGAACGATAAAATGGTATAAAGGTTATACTTACAGTCTGACACACACTTCTGCCTCATTGCATGGCTGCCCGACCAGCCCTTGTACCTCTTCATAGGTTTTCCCCGTCAAAGGAACACCACTCCACTCCAGCACTTGCATTCCTATACGCCATTACACAATTGCACACAGTCATACACACAAGAAAACAATCAAAAAATGTCTGACTTCACCTCAAACCAAATCAAAGGCTTGAAGGGAGTAGCTCTTTAAAAGACTAAAGGGATGAACTCATTCTATAAATACATTTTCGTTGACCAAAATGAGGAACCAGATTAGGGTCTAACATCTATTCTTTGATTAAATTTACAGCTAAAAAATATATACTTTGATTGTTGTACTCCTTGTAAACGTCATGCATTAGACTTCAAGCCAAAACTGGAGCGATAAATGCTTGTGACAGCCGAAACAGCAGCCGTGTGACAGGCTGCCCCTGTGGAGCGCTCAGGCACAGAACTGGTTTAAAAAGAACCTGGAAATGGCTTCATGTTATTTCAGCTATAAAACTATAATTTGTGGGACAGTTTTAAACGTGACGCATTATGGCCTGGAAAGAACACAAAATCCAATCAGATGCTAGTTTCATTCATCTAGTCCAGCAAAGACAAATGTCTCATAGAGGGGACTGATCATTTATTATATTCAATGCAGCAGTGAAAGCTCATATGAATCCACACAGCACAGCAAACCCACTGCATCCTCCAAAAAGCACACCCTGCACACTAGCAGGACTTACAAGGTTTTAAACAGCTCATCAGGAGGCTCCGTTTGCGACGATACTCACGAGCTGCATGTGTGAGTGACAGGGAAGCTACTGTAGTTTCATCATAATATTATTCATCAAATTTTTCACACTTTTGTGGTTGACATGTGTGTTGCAGTTTGCACACATTCAGAGAAACTTGAATTCCAGTGATAAGACAAACAAGCATGTATTCGTACACATAGCGACACGGAGCATCTACACTTGTTGAATCTGGCGACGTTTCTCCGTATTCACACCACAGAGGGTGAGACGCCGTGTTCCCACTGGCAGAACCAAAGTTCTTTGCAGCCATTCTGCTCGGTGTTGATGACAGGGTTACGGCTGTTATCATGGTCGAGTTATCCTCGGGGCTAAGAAACGCTGCAGATATATCTTGACTATCGGGCTGAACAATCATCAACAGCTTCAGGCTGTATTTGTCTTCTTTCTGTGCAATGATGGCGGCTGAGACAGAGTAAGTTTAAAGTAATGGGTAGAAAAGGTTTAAAGCAGAGGCAGGGGATATATATATATAAATATACAACTCTTCTGACCCCAATGTTTCCGTTGATGACACGTCAAGTGCCTGGGTCTATGACTGCTAGGCCCGTTTAGTAATCCATCCATCATTAAAATACAGACTCAAGTTGGAAATTGGAAGATTATGGATCTTGTTTAGTGATTTAAAAAAAATAATAACATGATGTTGTTACTATACAGATCTTTCTTTTTTTGACACTCTAGCAGTGTGGCTCTCGGGATGACAATGTCAAAAAGAATGGATTGCTGTAAACTTTGCGACAGATTGCTGTGAAATTTGCTACAGATATTCAAGCTCCCAAGAGAACATGTTCTAATAACATTGGGGAACCTCAGACTGTTCATCTGGCAACAACATCATGTCAACATTTGAATTTGCAACACCTGCAAAACTGCTAACACTCCCATCGGCCCCAGCTGTACTTTGTGTTTTGTGCCAATTAGTAAATGGCAAATGTTAATATGGTAACATGCTCAACTAAGAAAACTACACCTGTGAAACATCTGCATAAGCATTGTCATTGTGAGCATTTTAGCATGTGGTGTTAGTATTAAGTTGTGCTTAATTAGTGTTTCACAGATTTGCTAGCATGGCTGTAGACTCAAGTAATATCAAGTTACAGTAGGGACTCCAAATATGTTTTAAAGACCCTAAATATTCCCACTATTGTTCCCAACTGTATTTGTTGTATTTGTATTTTTTGATTAAGCAGTGTTTCACTGGAAACATTTAGAATGCCCTGCTAAAGAAGTGGGAGGAAGAGAAACAGCAATTTAAAAGGATTTTTAAAGGAAGGGGAAGGAGACACAGACAAGAACAGAAAGTATGAAAATAATTGCCTATGCTCAAGCACACACACACACACACACACACATCCTCAGAGCGCTGACAGATGGATAGCGCCCTACACAGGTCCACAGCGGGCAGTATTTCTGTCTCTATCCCTGTCTCATCGTCCACAGATCTCCAGTGTGGCAGCTTCAAGAAGGCGCGGGGCACAGCTTTACCAATTGTCCGACATCCTCAACACAGTGGCTCAACACAGAGATTAAAGCGGACTGTGAGCAGACAGGTGGACTGGGAGGCTGAGATGGTTAACTGTACCCAGACTGCACCATGTGAAAGCAATTCCACCTCATGGAATGTGTTATACCACACGGCAACATGCTGAGGTGGTGTCAGTGAGATGTGTGTGGGCGAAATCACAGGTCATAGGGGTTAGTGCACAATGGTTACTTTTCAAAATAGCTAACTGTGGCTGTTGCAGTATCAAGCTACTGTATATGTAAAAGAAGTCCAAATAGTCCGGCACATAACCCCTTGTGATACCCCAACCAGATGTTTTTAAGCATTGTTTTAAAAGGGGACACGGCATGTTAATCAGTTGTCTTCTTATCTCACTCTAAGCAAATACGAATGCTTCATATATAAGAAAATAAATCTCCAGTATATCTTTTGTGATTTATTTCCTTTTCTCCTACAAGTGAAGCAGATTTTTTTTGCACAAGGGGAAGTTTAATTTGGTAGATGAGCTTACCTTCAAGAATTTTTCCTGTTTGTTCTGCAGCTCCACCAGGTAGGACTTTGGCAACATAGGCTCCAATGTCTCCATTACTGCCAGGGACGTCTTTCCCTCCAACCACACGGATACCCAGACCATTTCCTGTTTAAGACCCAAAGCAAAGATTGTTTAGTGGCATTATAAGATAAGATAAGATAAGATAAGATAATCCTTTATTGGCAATCATTCAATGGCAATATCAATAAGTCACTATTGACATTCAACAACACAGAAAAAGAAGGATACAATATGGACACAAATATACTGCCATAACAAGAAAAAATGCATAACTATAAATAACTTACATTCAATAAATCCCTATAACTATAAATAATGAAAATAACAAACCAAAACAAGTTTATTTTCTGAGAAAATACAAGAAATACCGCCCCACAGTTGTGTACCTCTACCAACCATGTCGAGTTGCAGTTTGCATCAAAATCACGTTTTATCCTAGTAGACATTTGTGTGAAATTGTCATAATTAGCGTATTAATTCTTGACTTGACAAAACATGTTTTTTGAAATCACAGTGCTTACTTAATGAACTTAATCAGTTCATCACTGAGTTCAGGTGGATTTCCAAATTTGGATAGATTCCCCTAAGGTTTTCCTGATATAAGAGTTCAGAAGAGTGATACGGACAGACAGATGGACAACTCGAAAACATAATGTGTTCAAATGGAACACATTTTGTTCGGGAATTTTCCAAGTTTTGTCCAAATGCATTTTTTAGGCATTATGTTGGTTATTTGGCAGCTACACTTCGTAAGCCTAAACCGACATAAAAATGAAGGCATTACAACCTTTCTTTGTTACTCAGTACTGGCCAACATGAACACTTTAAATTACTTTTCTCACTGCTTCTGTAGCTATTGCTCTTTTGCCTTTGTAGAACAGTAGACAGCAGCATACATGCCAACCCATCTACTGATTATCAAACAATCCCATATCATATCCCTCCACAGGTAACACATATATAGGCCCTCACCTACAAGAAGCAGAACCTCCTTTATATTACACTATTTAACACGGTTATGGAAGCTGGAACAAAATGACTCCGTTCAGCACCGGGTCCTTTTAGACAGAATGCTTCCTTTGTGGGCTGCTTGTTACTTGCGTAAGATAATCCTGAGTGTGAGGGATACGCCATTTTGAGCATGGCAATGACTGATGAGCATGGAAAAGGGCCAAATCAAAAGGGATGCCAGGAAATGAAATGTCTGCCTGCTTTGAGCCTGGAGGAATGGTGTGATGGAACGTAATGGCAGGGGAAGTGACTTGCTAATTTATTGAGATCTGGCATGAATATCAAGTAAACAGAATGCATGAAGCACAGTGGTCATGGTCCGTTAACCTAATGGGACAATATGATCCATATTAATGTGTACATTCTACTCCCCTTTTTCATTTCTGTTTTATAAACATTAACCATGTGTGTGCTGTAAACGGTGCATAGTTGATGCAGTCAGTAAGCAATGGGGTCAATAAAATATAATGCATGCATCACAGTCAATAAGACATTAGCTTGTAATAAATGCTCTTTGCATGCTGCTTTTGTTCTTGTTGATTGAAATGTAGTAAATTGTGGTACTTTACCTGAGACACTGCGGTCTTTGGGATCCCTCTGCAGTTTGACCCTGAGGTGAGGGAAGGGGTAGTACAGGCCTTTTCCCTGTGGCCCATACACAATGGTGAGATGTCATGTATGTACAAGGCATATGCAACATGGACATGCCATATAGATATTCAGGTGATTGAGTGTGATTTCATGCATTTCATTACTACTTGGACTTGGTATTCAGTGCATGCAGAAACTTTTCTATAGTGTCTGCGTGTACAGTATGTGTGTGTGTGTTTCCTGTTTCACCTGTCTCTTCTCTTGTCCATTCTCTGATCGCCCGTCCCTAGGATTGTCAAACCAGTCAGTCTCCTCTTGCCTAAGGTGGTAGGCTTCAGGGATAAAGACAAGCACTACTTAAAAATCAATCTGAGAACTTGGACATTTTCATTTCACTATATAGAGAATGGGCTTCTTCAGTCTATATACTGTAAAGTACATGCCATTAGGCATAATTAAATTCATGACAAGTCTATACTTAGTAGGGATCGTGACAAACAAAATAAAAACAAATACGAAGAAAACAAGGTGCAGAGAAAGAGTTGATTAATTAGTTCACTTTCTTGTGAAAAGGAGAAAGGATTCCAAGCAACATGAAATTTTACACAGGTATTGTAAAATAGGCAGAAAAAATGCAGTTTGAGATAGAATAAAAATAATTTATTACAGTATGTATAGTGGCATAGTCTCAACCTATGTGTTTTTTTTTCCTATGAATGTAAATGTTACTCCAATTGTTAGGAAAGTGCATGTATTTCTTCTAAACATTGAGTATCAGTACAGTATTACCATATGACATTTCCACAATGTAAAATCGTTGAAACTTGTAAATTAAAGTAGTATTAATTTGCTATTTTAAGAGTGTCTTAAACCTCCCAAACAATTGGTCATCATTTTATGGTGATGTGCATGTGACTTGAGGTGCGGGTTAATATGTTAACTGATGGATGACTAGATAACTGAACTAATACTCTGCCATTGGTTGCATCGTCTCTGTTCAAAGCCATCAGGGAATCACTTAGGGCTGGAATCAAGGCAAATGGATTTACATTGAAAAATGATCGGATCCATATGAATTTATTAGTAATTATGCTGTATTCAAGACAACTCAGAACTGGGATCTTAAAGCCAAAGAGAGAAACAATTGTACCTCTATTAGTATCTTAATTTACTAATAACTTAGTGATGACAACTCAGAATACTGTATGCTTTCAGTAAGTATAGAGGAAAAATAGATAAAGAAGCGGAAGTGAATGTTTGCTCAGAAAATGATGAATTAAAAAAAATGTTTTGCATTATTATTAAAAGTTAAAAGGCATAAATCTGTTCCATGCAATAAATTACAAATATGTCACAATAAAAGCAAATATTCACAACAAGACATGCAAGTTAAAGTTTTATATTTATTACATACAAGTGTTGCAACCACATTGGCATTTAAAAAAATGACAGTATCCTACTTTAATCTATTATTTTCTAGCTATGCCATTAGAGTTTGATAACATTTTGATCTTGCCTATACTTTGTTATCTTAATAATTCAACCCACATATTTACCCACTTATATGATGAAATACACCTAAAATATCTGCTATCCACATTGCACATCAACTACTGTAGAATCTCTAAATATAAGTAATTTGCTGTGTTATTACAGTATACTGTTATTTTGAAGACTAATTGTTAAAGAACTGGTTCATTTGACAGAATTCTGTAAAATTTAACTGGTGCAGGCACTTTTTCAGTGTATCATTAGTGGGGAAAAAAAGTTATCAAAATCTGACTTAAGTTTCGGAGGATTATTTTGCTATTGTGGTTCAAGTCTTGTATCCTCCATGCAGGAATTAAGACTATTAAAAAAACATTTTGAAAGTTGACATAGCTACAAATGTTATATTTGAGCACAAGTGAGCAAATGCCATTTGAGGAGGGGAACCTCCCACACAATGTAGTTGAAACAGAGAGACCATACGGTGTCACGCAGTTAACTATTGTGAGAAAACATTACACAATATCTAGCATGCAGACAGAAATAGTTCATGCATAAAGATACATTCAAGCACAGCCTATAAGACATAGAGCAAAATATACAAAGGCATGCATGTACAATAGATCTCAACCAAAAGTACTGACACCCGAAAACAAAAAGAGAATACATTCACCAAAGTTAAGGTAAGACACATGCAGACATTCAACAAATACACAAAAGCTAAATATCGTAAATAATAGTACTAAATGCAAGAAAGACAAACCATAGCCAGACACTCTAAATGATGAGACATTAAACAGGAAAATATTGACAATATGACAAGTCTGTTTTTTACCTTCACTATCTGACATGGTGCCCTGAAGGTCATCCAGCAGCACGTAACCCCTACCCCTGGTTGGCTCTTCCCTGATATGTTGCTGGGAGTCCTGCAAGGACAGGCAGGAACCAAATTGGTCCCTTGAATCAGCTGAGATGGGCGGTAGAGGTCCCGCTGATGCACGGGCCATGCCCATAGGTTGCCCAACAGGGCTCAATGGGCTCTCTTCCTCCGAGTTTTGGGCCACTATGGGTAATCGGCCACGACCACTTTGCACAATGGGAAGGCTTGTAGGTTTGGTGCGACCAGAGGGGGTTTGATAGCTTGGTACATCTCCAGATGTTTCACCATCCCCCTTAAGCCTCAGCGAAGAGCTGGAAGGGTCTCTTTTAATAGACAAGTCCAGGCCATAGCAAGAAGTGGGCCTGGATGAGGGTCTTGAGCGACTACCACTAGGATAAGCAGAATCCAAACCTAGGCTCTGGCCCAAATTTAGTGACCCAGCCAAGTTGGCACCCAAGGTGGACCCCAGGTATTTCTGTTGTTCTGCAATATTCTTACGAAGGCCGAAGGTAATCTCATCTTGCGAGAGCCGGTTGGATCTTACAGATGCACTGGTAGACCCAAGATAGCTGGTATAGTCTGTCTCCAAACCCCTGTTGTCTGTAATAGAGGAATACTTGGAGGAGGTCTTAGGATCAATCAATGGTGCCTTTTGATTTTGGTACAACAGTGATGCTGGGAGTTGTTTAGCTGCCTGCTTCTCTAGAGTAAGTCGACTGATACTGTACTTGTCTGTCTTTGGATAGTGTCTTTGAGAGTAACTAGAGGTGCTAGAGCTTGGGTTATAGTAGTTCTGGGAGAGGCCTGTCAATTGTTCTATGTTTTCTGTCCCACCAGTACTTCTTCTGAACTCTTGCTTTAGCTGCTGCTTCAGGAGTTTCAGTTCGTAGGGTTCCTCCATTGTATCTTCTTCATCAGGGGTCTTTCCAAAAGTATGGAGTCTAGACGTGGATCCCAGATAGTCAGTAGAACCCAGATCTGCAGCACTCCTACGCAGAAGCTTCTCTGCTTTGGCCAGCTCCCTCTCAGCCAGACTGTAAGATGAAGACAGACCTGTGGAGCCCTTAGCCAGTTCTGCAGCATCTTCCAACAACATGTAACTCCGAGGTGTATGGGGATCTACATCTGTGTAATAGGAATCAGATACAGTTGACATGGGGCTACGTGCTATATTTCCAACATCCAAGGCTCTGAGGTCAAGGTGGTTGCCATATTTGTCATATTTGACTCCCAAGTAAGCTGATGATGTGGGATCAGGCTGGCGGCTAATGACATATTTAGTTGCATCCAGCTCTGAGAGGAGGGCTGCTTGTCTGGCAGCTTTCTGCTGCAACAGGAGCATCTGGTGGTAACTCTGCTGCTGGGAGCTAGTGAGCGAGGGGACAGAGGAGTAGAGAGAGTGGGATTGGTAGGACTGGGGAGTTTGGTAGAGAGACTGCTGGTATTGGCTTTGATTGTATTGGTACTGGCTGTATTTCCCATACTCATGCTTGGTTTGAGGTGGGACAAAGTCATCCAATTCTGACTGAGGAGCTGTTCTGGGACGTTCAAGACCATGACCTTCAATCTCCTCATCTTCACCAATTCCAAGCCCACCCCTTGTCTCTCGGATGTTACTAACCTCACTGTCTGACATGTAGTCTCTGTCCTCGGCAACACTCTGTAAATATGCCCTTTCTCTCTTCTCTCTCTCCTTTAGTAGCACATCTTTTCTACGATTAATGCCCATCTCCAAGTACCTAAGCTTGGCATCAATCTCTTTCTCCTCCTCATCGAGCTCTGCTTGTCTTTTGCGGAGCTTGGAAGACTCACGCTCAACGAGATCTAGCTCATGATCAATGTCTTGCAGGATCTTAGCACGTGCCATGTTGGAATTGCGGCACATTCTTCGGCGGGCCGAACCAGTGGTGTGTGCTGTCTGACCACTCGTTGTTGACTCATCCTCTGACGGTGGATTGGGGAGAGTCCTCTTCACCTTCTTTTGAGTGCCTGTTTGAGTGCCTGTTGGTGAGCCTTTCCCCTGTAGGAAAAGAAAACAAGACAATGATTAGGACTGTAGGAATTCAAATGGTTTTCTTAATCCCCAAAATAAATGAGTCAGCCAGTTATGTAGTCCTCAGAATTTTAATAATGACTTTCTGTGAACCGTATTAGTTCGATAATTGTTATGTGATCAAAGTGAAAAAGTAGAAAATCAATTCTAGTCTTGCCACAAAGTTAATAAAATGTCATGATTTTAGATGAGGACATGAACATGGTGCCAGAACACCTTTTAAGCATACCAGTAAGGTATTCCTGTCCATAAATGTTCCCCACTTCTCACTAAATTGCACATGCCTAAATTTAGTTACAAAATAAGTAATTTATTAGCATTAAACCTCCATGGATCTCTGACAGCTCAGTATTTTCCTGCAAGCTCAGCTCATTTCCTTTTATGTATGTATGAGATTCTCAACAGTGAATTGCCCAGTCTGAAAACTGACTTCCATACCTCATGAGGGCCAGGAGCAACATAAGATGCCTATGTGTGCATTGTGTAACCTATACACTTGTTTCTTTTACTTCCCTTTCTGTATATGTTGCCCTATGTATGTGAACAAACCAAAATTTAAATTACAGATTTTCTTGTTTTCATAACATACAATAAAGTAATATGGTACGGATGCATACTTTAATTCTTAAAATTAAATATAGCAGAATTTAAGCTTGAACATTCAAGTTGGCATTTAGAACTTTGCTAAAGTCTTTATAGTCAGAATTTTGGTTTGGTTTGATACATCACGTCACAGCAATGTAAATGATGGAAACAGCTGCATTGTATGCCATTAAGTTCAATTAATGGAGCACATCTGCCATCTCAAGCATTACATTGACATAGGTATAACCACACTGGCGTGTGTGCCATGCTTAGAATACACAAAGATGGTCTTCTATTGAATTACCATTGTATTCAATGAATCAAATTGTTATTTTTTTCTTCTGCATTTGACCCATCCACCTGTTTTGGAGTTTAAAGCAAACGCTGTGCAGCAACCAGGGAGAATCAACACTTCTAAGGCCAGCCGTGTTGAAGAAAAATGGCAGCAGTATTCCCAGTACCTAACATGCTTGTCATGCTTGTGGTGTGCAAGCTTCCTCGTGCAAACATGAAGAGAACATGCCATCTCTTGCCGTCAGATTATGTAGCTTTGCGGTAAGTGGATCTCATATAATCAAATGACAGGCTTAATAAAATGAGTGGGATACGTAATGGCATAACAAGCCAAAACTAGGAAAAACTGCTTTCATTGGAGTCTCTACCATGGTATTTTATTTTTAACCTTCTGGCCAGAAGGTTAAAAAATGCGCTCAAGCTTGAAACTATTCTCCAAAATATCTAAATTAGATTTGCACATTATTTACCCAAAGAACCATTTAAATGTAAATAACAAAATATTCTTACAGTTAAAATAAACCTGATCTTAGTCAGTGCCTATGTTCTCATATTAATGACAATCAAAGTGATAGGTATATTACTCACAGTATCACCATACTGGGTGCCACATGTTGCCCTTTCTTCTCCTGTTGGACTCATGGGCTTAGGGTCAGACATGGATCTCTGCATTGCTTTTGGTCCCCTTGGACTTGATGGAGAGGCTTTTGATGGATCCGTACTTCCTCTTAGCTTTTGTGGGCTTGTATCACCCAATGATTTCTCATAGGACACAAACTCAAGGGATTTGCTTGGGGATATACAGGGAGATATGGGGGAATAAAGCACATTGGGAGATTTAGGAGGGGCTTGAAGCATAGAGGAATCAACTTTGAGGTTGGGAGACTGGCCTATGTCTAAGGGGATGGGTCGTTTCTTTGGTGAGGTTCTTTCAGAGTCAGACAGCTCCATCCTGGAGTCCATTCGAATGTTCCCTTCTGTATCCGTTTGAATAGAAATCTCAGTGTGGGCTTTAAGAGACATCTCTGACTGCCCACCCCTATCACCCCTGGCAGTGCGTGGCCGGCTTTGCCGGTTTCTGGTCTGAGCCTCCCATTCGTCTTGATCTTCATCATCAGTCTGCACACAACTGTCTACACTCTTTTTAGCACTTCTCTTTTTCCTCCCTGCTGTGTAAGCTTTGCTGACTGCCTCATCCTCTTCATCTGTCTGGCACCCACTATCTGTGATCTTTCGGGACAGTACTGTGCCATCAGGTCCTAAGACAATTGCCTCCTGCACGCCATGCCCTGGTAGGTCCCCACCTGGGTACATCTGACGAAGCTTTTGCTCTTCCAGTTGCATGCGCAGCTGCTCTTGGAGTCTTTGAATCTGTTCAAGCTGCTGCTGTTGCTGGGCATATGTTTCTTTCTGCATCATAAGGTGAGCCTGTCTTTCATCTTCTTGTTGGTTCAGGATATGTTGCTTCATGGCCTGCAGCTCCTCCAGTTCCTTCTGCACCAAAACTTGCTCGTGCTCTCGGAACCGTTGAATCTCTTGGCGCTCCCACTCTAATTCCTCGGCCAAGTGCTGTTGCTTGAGTTTCTCCATCTCTAGCCTCTCACGCTCTGCCTGATACTGGCCATCCCCAGGAACCATGGGTGAAGACAGAGCCTCCAGTGAAGCAGCTATGGCGTCCAGGGATGCATCAGTGTAGGTGTCAAGGGTTAAAGAGGTTGTTGCTGTGGTGGCAGCAGCAATGCTACCCCTTCTAGAAATCTCCAGATTGAGTGGGGCATCTCCTTGTTCCTCTGTTTCAGTAAAGGAGATGGTGGACAGGAAACTGTGGGACCTTGTAAGTGGTAAGTTCTGGAGGTTGGACAGGGAAGGCATTGTATCGCTGGTATGCATACCTGAAAGCGTGTTGTATGTTGTACTAAAGATGGACCCAGGTTGGGTGGTAATGGCATACGTAGATGGGATTGGTGCTGCAACAGAGGAATAGACCACCCCATTTGATGACCTCAAGACACTGCTTGTACCAAAGAGTGTACCAACAGCACTTGTGACTCTGGCTTGGGAATAGGGTGGGATTGTCATTCCTGCGTAAGTCCCTTTCTTGGAGTAGTCAACAGCTTCACCTGTCAAAAGTCAAAAATATCAGTTGAGTCCAAATAATGCAGACGTATTCAATGTTGAAGCAAGCCATGCCTTATCCAAATAATGAAAAAAAGGTGAAAAAGGGAAAAATCCAATGTTGAGAAGTGCAACAAGTATAAACAAGATTTACAGTAACAGCATGCAGGCACATGCAAAAATATTACAGTGAAAGGGCAAAAAAAAATAAACAAATAAACAAATTGTCCATGCAAAACAAAAAGAAAAGCAAAAAACAAACAAAGAAATGCCAAGTTAGCCATGAATGAGTCGAGGCAGTTCAAAGTGACATTTAAGTGACAGGTCTGCAATGTCACTGCACTGACCTGCATCAGAAATCTTTGCTGAGGTAAGATCTACTGCACCCTCTGTGGTACCACTGAAATTATAGCTGTTCTTACTCTTGTAAAAGAACAAGCCAGCCTCTGCTAAGTTAGTGTCCGACATCGACGGTTTAATTCCACCAAACCCTCTCATGCCGTAAGGGGATCGGTCATACTGGTAATGGTCATCACGATATCCAAAACGATCTTCGGGCAGGGGTGTAGTAGGTTGCTGAGTAGTGCAGCTTCCTGCAAATGGGAGGTTGTACACAACATCACAGCATACAGCTCTTTGTCCTGCAGTCAGATCCACTGGTTTGCCATCGTCATCTGTGAGTACAGCTGTGACCACCTCTGCAGAGGCAGCATCCACTGATACCATAGTGTTGAATGGTTTTGTTGTGGTAAGGTCAATAGCTCCAGCCACTCTGGTTGCACCCGTAGTTAATCCATTGGCAACACAACCTGGAATACAAGTGGGTGCAATAGTGACAGGAGTGGTCTGGAAAGTTCCTCCACCTGTGCTTGATCCAACTGAGAGGTTAATAGGGTTTTCTATACCAGCAGGAGTGGAGGACTGAGAATCAATTGGCCGATATACGATTTGAGAAACAGGCTCAAATGCTTTATTTTTTGTTAACTGAAGGGGCACTGAAGATACTTGAGAGGTGTCTACATTGTCACATTGTTCAATTGTGGCAGCACAGGTCACAATTGTGATACTATCAGTCACTATAGAAACAGTGGATGATTCAGCACTGAGATTGACCACAGGTGAATGCACTGCACTGTTCTGACGACTGACATCAGTTGCAAAGGACTGACGTCTTGAGTCTGGGCCAGCAGATAGATCCACACCATTCATGTCTGATTGTGGGTCCACCTTCATAGTCCTAAGATCTACCACCTCAGAAGGTTGGACGGCCTGTCCATTCTGTGCTGGCAATTGGGGCTTAGGTTTCTCCATCGAGATTGGGACACCATTTGCCCTTGGAGCTGGCACTGGTGGTGATGTCCTTTCATGAACAACAGAGACAGTGGTCCTTTGGACTTCTGTGGTGACCACTTGAGAGATCAGGTTAGGCATAACCATGGGTGGCTGTGCAGAGGCAGATATAGCCTCAATTATATGACAAGAACTAGATACATGTTTTTCTGGGCCACAAAACTCTTGACTTTCAATGGATTCTGTGACTCTTGTGTATGCCAGAGGCACTCTGGTTGTTTGAGGAGGGGTTGGTTGTGGATGCTGCTGTGGATAATATTGAAGTTGAGGTTGTGGTTGGTGATAGCTTTGGGGCTGAGCTTGGCATAAAGGAGATGCTGGGCCAGGGCTAGAGGGAGCTTGAGTTGAGACACTGTCTACTGGAGAGCTGGGCTGAGATGGCAATGTGATGACTACATATGTGTCACGAAGATTGCTGGCATATCTTGGAGAAGAGGGAGACTTTGGGGAGGGTTGAAACAGCTTGCTCTCAGAAGGACTCAGATTCAGAGCTATGTCATTCGGACCAGTGGGAAGTACAGTGGGTCTTGGTGGATGTGGGACATGGGCAGGTGAAGAAGGCTGTGAGCTAGGCTTTGGTGCAATTGGTGGTTTGACACCATGTCCTGGCCGGTGGCTATCCCCAATCCCTGCATGAATATATGGCTTTGGGGCAACAGGAGGGGGAACTTGAGGCTTGTACATTGGTGTAACTGCTTGTCTTGTAGGTGGCCCTTGGGCTGCAGTCATAGCCACTATCTGTGGCCTGATTGGAGTTGCTGAAGCCTGAGGTGGAAGTGGGATGGGAGCTTTCCTGGGAAAAACAGTAGGTTTTGGTGGGGTGGGAGGAGGCAGTGGTGGTGCAACAGGTACTTCTGCTTTTTCCTGAGAATTAGCCCTATGCAGGACGCTAGGCTTGGGAGGTAAAGGTGGAGTAGTTGACACTATGCTAGGAATACTGGGTGTGTACTGGGGGACTGTGGGCAAGGGCGAAACACTGGCAATTACTGGGACTGATGTTCTTGGGAGTGCACTAGATAAGTCAATAATATCAAGTTGTGATTCTGTGATTGTGGTGTGAGGTTGCTGACATGATGTGGTCGATGGAGGGGACTCGGTAAACACTGTCACCTGCTCAGTTTCCATAACTGCTGGTGAGTCGGATACTGCAGTTATATCCTCCTTTTTAAGCATACTCTCGTCATCAGAGGACAACTCTCCTGAAGAGCACTGCGTCACCTTTAAGTCTGGAATGGGGTGGAGTGCCCTTCTAGATACAGTGGCTTCCACTTCTGGCTCCTGCTGAGTTGGACTTGTTCCAGGAGTCAGCACTCTTTTAATTAGCTCTTCATAGGCAGTTTCAGCATCCAACAATGGCTTCCCATCTTTGCCTAATGTTACTGTGGTGCTTTTGGATAAGGTATTCTCAGCAGGTTGCAACACAATTTCTGGGTTGCTGCTTATCTTTGTTGGCTGCATTTTTTGATATTCCTGCTCCAGCTTGATGAATTCCTTCCTCTTCTTTATCATGTCTTCATAAACTTCATCTGGTGATCTCAGTGTTTTGGGCTGAGTAGGAACAACAATCTTCTCTGGCTCACCCAGAACAGCTGTTGAATTGTCAATAAGAGATGCATAGGCATAGTCTTCAATAAGCATGCCCCCGTAAAGGGACTCTTTTCCTGGTTGAATCTCGCCTTTGTCAAGCGTTGGAGACTTGGCCCTCAGCATTATTTCCTCATAAGCCTCATCAGCAGTTTTGAGAGTTTTTTTCTGTGGTTGATCAATATTTTGATCATCTGTTGGGGAGTGAAGAGATACTGATAAAGGAAGTTGATAGGTTTTCTGAACTGCTGCGATCTTTGCAGCATGGATTTCAAATCCTTCAGAATCTGATTCAACACTGGGGGAGAAATCAGAGCAGGATGATCGCCTGATTTCCTCCATCTCAGCTTCTTGTCTCAGTTCCTCGGTTGGTGAGGCGTCTTCAATGGGGGAAAGGTTGCTTGGTGGTGTCTTTGGACGCTCTCGCCTCCTTTGGGCTCGAATCTCTTCTTTGTCTTTCTTGGACTTTTTCCCAGATCCCTTCTGTTTTTCTTGCTCCCTGAGCAGCTCCTCTTCTTCCCGTAACTCTTCCTCTTCAGAAGAGTCTTCAATAGTTGGCAGCATTTGACCAGGTTGTCTGTGTTTGGCTTTCCTGTGTTGTTTACCCTCACCAGAACGGATATGGCTGGGACTACTACTGTCACTGTCTTCGTCTAGTGATGAGAGGGATGTAGGGGATGTCCCAGGAGTGAAGCTGGATGCATGTAGACTGGATGACCCCTCACCTCTAGACCGATCATCTGGAGAGTCTGTAAGGCTTTCCATTTCAGGGTCTCCATCATCATTAGGTATACGCATAGGGCCGCTGGTTGAATTCAGCTCCATAGTTCGGAATTTGCGAACTCCAGTACCACTCCCTTCCTTTAGTTCTTGTCCCTCCTCTTTGTATGTATCAGGTTTGTCCAATGAGCCACATAGTTGTTTATCCTCTTCATCATCTGGACTTATAGTGCTTTTCTTGGTAAGTCGCCTGGATTTTCCTGATGTACTCCTCTCTACAGCCTCGGTTGTCTTCTGTTCCATTTGTTTCTTCTCATTCTCTCTTATCTTGCGTCTGATTAGGTTTTCCTCATCAGACGGGGAAGCATCCTCATTTTCACTCATTTCCATAATTTGTTTTCGGATAAATTCCTCATCATCCCCAGATATCGGGCTTTCTTTTCCAAAGCTTTCACTGCTATCATCGAGGGAATCTGCCCTGACATCCATGGGTACAAGTAGCTTTTTCTTTGTAGTACCTTTGGTATTCTTCTCAGAAAGTTCTCGGTCATCTTCTGAGCTGGGTGAGTCAAGTGAGAGAGGAATCACCTCTAATTTACGTCTGGCCTTCACAGCATCTGTTAGCTTCTCCTCATCATCCTTTGGTTGTGTCTGGGCCTCAAGAATGGGTAGAACTGTGCTTTCCAGCTTGGCTAGGTCTGATGGGCTGGTGGGACTGCTGTCCTTGACAGCCATTTCTTTCTGTCCAGGCTCTTTCAAGGTCTCCACTGTTTTCACCTGTTGGATTGAAATACAACAATTATTTTTTTCCCTAGAAACTGCAATACAAATTTAAAAATCAAGACTGGGATTTTTTCGCTTGTTACATGTGAACCATGTGTATGTGCATGTACATTCTTGATGAATAGCAAATGGAGATGAAAAAAGGCTTTCCATAACTCTATTATTGTTATAAAAACAGTATTTTTTCAATACATATATATCCACTCTTCAGGTTTTTGATATATACAGTCTGAAATCATAACATTCTACTGTATTTTGCAGTGTTAAGATAATAATTTTCAATATGGTACAATTTTTAGTTCAGCCATTTCTATATAACTGAAATTCACATCTACCCATCTACTGTACATGTGTTAATTATAGCAGAATCAAAGCAAATGATGTAAAAGATTTTCAAATAATCTACCACTACTTGTACTAAATACTATGGTCACCTCAGCGACTGCATCTTCTTCACAAGACTTTCCCAGAGGCTGAGCTACAACCTCCTTTTTCTCCTCCACGTTAGTGTTCTCCTTTAGACCTTTGACCTGCTCACTAACTACAGACAATGGGATTTCATGTTCTGCTTCAAGGACTGAAGCTACTGATACAGACACATCTCCATTTTCAAAAGCTGTATCTGATACTTCATCCTTCTTTGATATTGTGTTCTTTCCTACATCAAACTCTGCATTGTCATTTTTATCACAGAATATGTTTGTCTCTGAAGACAATATCACTGAAGTAACTTCCTGGATGTTGCCAGCAACAGGTTGTGACTCAACCACTTTTTTGTCAAGTGTGTCTTCCTTCTCTTTGTTTGACACCTTTTGCTCTGAAACTTTCTCTAGTGGTTTCTCATCATGGCCCATCAGAGCTAACGTCTCCCTCTCTCCTTCAGGTTGATTTTCAGCAATACAATAGTTTGTATTAGGTGAACAAGCTTCTGTCTCTTCCTGAACGAGTTTCTTCTCACAGGCGTTATCTCTGGCTTGCGTCTCACTAAAGACAGCTGAGGTTGACACCTTCTCTAAACTTTGTATTGATTCCTTGACATTGACCTTTTCTTGCTCTTGAGGTTCAGGAGATGTAACCACTGCATTCGTAGATTTATCACATGCTTTTAATATTGTTTCTATAGGTGTCTGCGCTTCCTCTTTCTGTGCTATACTCTCTGCTCCGACCATCAGCTTTTCCTCCTCCTCTGACTTCTCTGGCAATAAAACTGTCTCAACAAGGCTATTCTCAGCAGGTGATGGCTCATACTTTGGTCCTGGTTCTTTCTCTTTATGTATCAGTATCTCTTCTGTTGGGATCTCTTCAGCAGCAGTCTGGGCTGTCTCTCTTGCTGTTTCTTTCTTCTTTATTACGGGACAAACTGTCTCTGTTTCAGTGGAGGAGGGGGCTGGACTTGATTCAGCTTTATCAATCCTCTCCTTTTGAGGTTTCTGGTCATTTGCATTCTCAACTGTTTTCTGTTCAATTTTCTCTTTTTCCAAAGCTTTCTCTTCGTCAGCTTTTACCTCAATTGCCTTCTCTGCAGCTGCATACTTCTGAACCTCCTCCTCTTCAAAGGCCTTGCCGTTAGACGATATATTCTCAATACCTGCCTTCTCAACAGCTCTCTCCTCAATGGTTTCTTTTTCAATATGTTTCTCCTCAATCATTGTTTCTTCAGCAGTGCCCTTCACTGTTTCAATCTCAACTGTTTTTTTCTCATCAGGTATTTTCTGCTTATTTTCAATGGTTTTCTCCTCTGTTGCTTCTTCCAGAGCTTTGGTTTCTCCTTCAACATGAGGTGACTTTTCTGCTGGGTCAAGTGGAGTGTGCTCCTCCTCTCTATCTATGGGTTTAATTTCCACTTTATTAACCTGACATTCCTCCTCTGAAGCTAAGACAGGATGTTTGTTGTCTGACACTACTAAATAACTCTCAGATTCTATGCATTTTGCTGCCTCTGGTGTAAATTCTTGCTGGGTCTGATCAGGTTTAGGGACTTCAACATTGTCAACAGGAGCTACATTTTCTGCAACCTCAACTGCAGGTGAAGGAGCACCTTCACTGCATACTGGATTTTCTATCATAGGTTCTGGTTCTACCTTTTTTTCTTTAGTTATTTCATTTTTGACATCAGGTGCTACACTGCCAACCTCAAGTTCTGTAGTGATTTCTGTTTTCTCCACATTAAAAGCTGTGTCTACTCTATTTGATGGAGTTTGACATGCTGGAGTAGCTTCATCTATCTTGGGTTTCTCACTTGGCTTAGCATGCTCTACCTCTGTTATTGTCTCATCTTTTACATTTGCAGCTGGAGAATCTGGCTTTGGATTGAGCTGAACAGGGACTTCCTGTGAGACTGTTGTTGGTATTGAGGCAGGTTGGGGCTCAACTGAATTAGTTGTCACCTCCACAAGCTTTTCTGGAGTGGGCTCCACTTTCTCATCAACTGTCAGGGGAGCAGCAGCCTCACTCTGAGTAATCTTGGGATTTGGCTCTGGTCCTACCTCAGTAGGGACTGTTGTCTTGTCTAAACCTGTATAAGTCAATATATTTTGTGTCTCACGTTCCACAGGGGGAGAAAAGTCCTCTGCCGCATTCTCAAAGCTACTTTGTTGCGGCTCAACTGCTGGGATTGCACTGACAGGTACATTCTGTGCTTGATGCTCAACATTAGATGGCTCTGTCTCAGAGTAAGGATGGTCCTCTGATGCTTTCTCAGAGCTACTCTGTTGTTGCTTAACTGCTGGTATTTCACTTTGTTGATCAGCAGCAGATGGCTCTGTCTCACGTTGAGGATGGTCCTCTGCTATTTCCTCAGAGCTGTTCTGTTGTTGACTGACTGCTGGGATTGGAGGTAAACCTTGAGCTACACTGTCTGAAATTGAAGCTGCTACTACTTTTTGTTCTATTGACTGTGGTATTTCCTGATGGGTGCTATCAGAAGGAGGGGCACTAACGGAAAGAGGGACATCATGATGAGGTGAAATTACTGCATCAGGTGTGGGAAGGGTTTCGGGTACTACCTTGGTATCAGGAGTTGGTGGGGTTAGGTCTGATGCCTCTACTACAGGTTTGCTATCTACAGCAGCAGGGGCAGGGGCAGAAGAGGAAGCAGGAGAAGGTGGTTGCTTCTGTGGGGAAGCCATGGCTGGAGGTGGCATGTCTCCCAGCTGGCCCGACATGGCTCTTTGGGTCTGACAGTTGAGGCAAAGCCATTCTTTCTGTAAGAAAAAGAAAATAATTCATATTAATTGTTGTTTGTTACAATATGATTTCTACAACTACATTAGAAAATAATAAACTGGCTTGTAACTGTTGTATTGTGTTTTGAATTGCACGAAATTACAACGCTGATGAAAATTTCCCCCCAAGAAATTATTCTTGAAAAATGTCTTAATTTTAATTCTAACACAGTTACGTGGACTAAATGTAGTACGTAGTTCAAACGTCACCGTGACAAGGCACCAGTGTAACATCTTCTATTTCAAGGGAAGCTTTTACATTTATGGGATTTAAAGAGACAGGCCTATGCATAATGCATGGTAATGGGACAGGGGTTTACCAAGGCATGTCAGAAAGGGTTGAGTGGCCTGTGAAGACATTTCATGGAGCAGACTTAACAGAGAAACTGTCTTTGAATGTATATGTTGTGTTTTTATAATTGTATAACTTGGTGTGCATATGTGTAAGCATGCTTTAAACATGAGAGTAGAATGTGCACATATCCTTAAACCTGTGTTTAACCCTAACTTGATAGTTCAATTACATTCAAGACTGAAACTATGCTTCCCAAAATTCTGTGCTCCCTGAGCATCTTATTTAGTTCCAATTAAAACTCTATTCAAACACTAAGGCACAATACAGGCCAATTTAAAGAATTGCCAACTGCTGTTTATTCTTTAAGTACCATAATCCTCTTTAAAATCACCTGGGATGTAGTCCTTACCCGAACCTTAACAGCATTGCCTCTTGCAATGGAACAAGAAACAAATACCTTGCTGGCACAGCTGCTCTAGCCATCTCAGAGCTCTGCTAAATCTGTCCTGTCATGGCGAGGTTATTATTGTTGTATATTCCCAGGTACTTACTTAAAAACCGGGCTCGAGAGGAACCTACCTACCCCAAAAGACCTGAAGAGGGCTATAATTCAAGAGGTGCAGCTATTATTAGAGTTCAATATTCAGTACTGCTTTGCTTAAAGTGGTTATAAAAGTGTTGATAAACAATCAAAATACTGGGATTTGAAGAAGGTGCAAACACACACACACACACACACACACACACACGTACCTATCTATGTAATGTGGGGACACCAGACCAGAACATGTATTATGGGAACCACACATGAAAACACGAATCTGTCTTATACACATACAGTGAAGCTAGAGGTAATAGTCAGCATATTTTCAACCCTCCAACACTCTGACATAAACACCTCATTTCACATTTTGCCAAGTGCTTTAACATTCCTCTGTGACCCCCCTCTCTTATGAATGTGTTTGTCTGGCTTAACAGCAGGGTTTATGCTAAATCCGAGTTTCAGAGAAGATCGCAGCCTTCATGTTAAGCCATGTAGCAGACAAGCCACCTCTCTCCAAGCACAGAAAGAAAGAGGGAGACCAGAGGATAGAAGAAGACGACTGAGGGGATGTCGCAGCAGCAAAGTCAGGGTAAATAAGGCATCAGCCGCCCTGTTTCAGTCCATGCTTAAGCAACAGAAAGCTTAGACTCAAGAGAGAATGACACACCTGCATACACATCTCAGTGGCATGTACCCAAACATAAAAAGATATCAAGAATGTTTTGACGGGGCAAATATTTGTATATGTGGCATTGCGAGAAAGAAGTAGATCTGTCGATGGGTTTATTCCCCCTCTACCATTTTCTTTTTCCTTCCTCTTTCTCTCGCTCTCTCCAATTTTATTTGATAAATAATGTAAAAAATCAAGCAAATGTCAAAAGTTTTCCACAAATGCTTTCAACAAAATATTTGAAATACAAAAGAAGATGATTTTAATATCTGGAAGAAAATAAAGATACAGAGACATGGATGGAAACCAACGAAAGAAAAGAAAAAACATGACAGAGATGCCTGTGCTAAGGTTTGCTGACGTTAGTGAGCATTCTCAACTCGACAGAAATCCAGTTAATCCTCAAACATGATGATGGACACAGCACAGATGCAAGTGCATGAGCAAGCACGCGTTATCAACATCCATCCTTGCTGGGAGGACTTGAGATGGGAGTTTCTCCAGCTTGATGACTCTATCAGTTAAACCAGAGAGACCAGGCACTGAGAGCCAGAGAGATGGCCGCCAGATACGAAAAGCTAAAAAACCCACTCAGTCAGACAGCCGGTCAGCCGCAGCCACTTCAGAGCTAGTCATCACCGACTTTATCAACACATCACAACAGCCACACTTAAAGCGTTTACCCCTCCCTAAAAAACACTTGGTCAGTTGTGTTTCCTTTCGCTGCTGTGCAGTGCTAAGTCACCCCTTTTTAAGTTATTTGGACCAGCATCCCTGTTAAAGCAGATATGTTACTTTAGCTCACTACTGCTAAGTGGCCATCTACAATGTAGTTCATACAGACACATCTTACAACAGCAATGACCCTGAAAAGCCATCAAGTCATTGAGTGTCTTCCTGGCTTCACTTAAAGTTACAGCTTTGGCAGCTCTGACTTCAACACCCAGAAACCAAACCATTTCAGATTTCAGTGTTTACCTTCCCAGGTAGCTTGGATCACTTTATACCTAATAATACATGGGGATGGGAAAGGCTTTTCATTTAATGTACAGATTGATAATCAATTATTTTATTGATTTAATGAGTAAAAATACCAACTTGTTGTGACTTCTAGCTTCCAGCTTTGTCTACAGCCATGCTCCAGCGTACCTGGGTACAGTGGTGCTTTGAGCCCAATGCTAACCTGCTCAAAATGGCAATGCTAACATAGTAATGTATAGTGGGCAAATATTTAACAGGTTTACCATTTTAGTTTAGCGTGTTAACATGCCTACATTTGCTCGTTACTACACAAAGTACGGCTGGGTGGATTGTCATTAGTTCTGCAGGTATTTCGCCATAAAACTGTGTATTGGAAAAAAGAAACTTCACTTGATGATGGTGCTTGATAAATAGTAAGGGGATGACCAAAGTTATTATTATTCCTCCCCAGGGGACATGAATTGCTGTACCAAATTTCATTACAAACCATCCACAAAAAAAAAAACTATTGACGAAGCGCTTTTGGATCTGATAGCGATGTGACACAAAAACACAGGAAAGGGGAATAAATTACCCGAAAGGTCATCCAATAGTTGTTCAAATATTTTGCTGAAATACATATAAGTATTTTGGGGGCGGTGATTATTAGGGTTCATTTTTGTGGGAACCATGAATTCCTCCACAAAATTTCATCGCAGTCTATCAAATATTAGAATTAGAAATTTCCATCTAGACAAAAGAGGTGGATCAACCTACCGACAAACCTACATTGCCCGTATTGCACGCTGCTAACATGGCTAAAATGAATGAACAGATTAAATGATGACGGAAATCATTAGTTGCAGCCCTAGGTAGAACTGTCTTTATAAGAATTGTCTTATTTTGTCACCGGAGAAGATGTATCACCAGTTCACCACACCCATTTATTACATTACATTTATTGAGGGGATCTACAGGGTCTATATTAACATGGATGGTACACTTATCTTGCAGCCTTGCCTTGTAATTAACACTAACTTTTATACTACAAGCTGTCAAATAAAAAGTGACATGCCTGTGTGCGTTCCTGTCTATCTGCTGTGATGAGTTCTGCAAAGAGCAGTGTGGATGATTCATAAAAGCAGGGGTGTCACTCGCTCACATCACCATCTTCCAAGGGCGTTTTCTAGCATCATATGTGAATGGTTACCAAAAAAGTTGACACCCACAGAGATGAGTTTGTGACGGTGTTGATGTCATACATATACCCAGATGAAAAGCTTGAAATATTTAGTAGGAAATGACAACTTGCTCCCTCTCTTCCCACATGACTTTTCTCAAACAACATGCAAGCTTATACACGAATGGATAAGGACAGATTCAGTTTGAGTGTTTCCATCTCTCTTTCATCTCCAACTTTGCATCCATCTCAAACATCCTCCAAGGACACGGAAAGGAGACTAACTGAGAACCGCAGACGGCAACCAGATATTAAGACAAGATGGGTTGTCGCCATTGCCCATGTTCGGTTATTGTTTCCAACTGGGGATTGGAGTGTTGTGAAGGTCGGTGCAGTTCTTATATTAAGACTAAGGGTCCCATCTAAATATAGACAAAACCTGGCACCGACAGAGGGAGAAATATAGGATCTAGAGGATGATGGTACAGATGGATTAAGGCAGATGAGAGGATGGAGGAGGAGAGAGGTAGAAGAAATGCGAGGACATGCAAAAACAAGGGTGATAATGGTGTGTGAGAAGCACGAGAAAAACAGGAGGAGGAGAGAGAAGCAAGACGACGAACAAAAGGGAAGCAGGGAGAAGCAAACAGGATGAAACAAAGGACAGTTGGAGAAAAGGAGCATGGTGTAGTGAGGTAAAGGGTGAAGCAGTAGAATAGAAGGAGCTTAATGGTCTTTGGTGGTGACTCAACACCAGCTCCTACCAACAAGCTTAACATTATCACTGTGTGAATCTGTTAATCAATAGCCGGGATGTCAGGACAAGCTGCAGTTTGTGATGAATGCCAAATATAGACCTTATAATGTTAACATACAGATTGGGCATTTAGCTGACGTCACTTACATATATAGTGGCACAACGTCCTGTCCTGCTTCTAGGTGAACTTCTGTGCAAAATCCTGTCATATGTCGGCAGTTTATTGTTATTCTTTTAAAAATATACTGTGCAGTTTGTTCAATGCTGACCGCTAGCAGCTTCAACAGAAAGTTCCACAATTGATCCTTAATTGTTTTCGAAACTGTATCAACGGCACACCTCTTGAAGATATTTGTCCCGAACACGCCCCATATAAGATAAACGGTTGTAATTGGTCCGGCAGATGTCAAGTTGCGTGATATCTGTCCAAAGGGAAGGAGGACTGACCGCATCTGCCAGAGCGAATAAAACACAAGACGCTGTTGAAAGACTAGTTCCCTTTCTGAAAGCTCAAGTCACTTTGCTGTCGCTAAAAGTTAATTCTGGAAGTCGTTGCCCTTTTCTCATTGGTGA